CTGGTCCTCGAGGCGATCGGCTTTGGGTGCTTTTGAGTCGATCAGAGCTTTCAAAGGAAAGATGAAACCCTCGGATGGCAATTCCAACCTCTTTGTTCTTTGGATTGTCAGTGCACCCCAGTTGACATGATAATCTGCGGCTTCCAACTTGGCAACTAAGTATTCACCCTTCCAATCATGACCTGGTTGGATGTAATACCCAAGGAAAATTCCTTCATTTGCTGTTGGGGAGAGCTTACCTGATGTGTTATCCAACCTCTTGGGGTTATTCCAGAACAACACTTTGGCACCAAATGGAATGTGCATTGCAGGGAACTCTTCACCAAACCTGAGTTGCCATGGGGAATCACTGCCGTCAAGCTGGGGGCTTGCATTGATCGCGGTCGCATGATGCTGCATGGCCAATGGCCACATCTTCAAAGGAAGTCCTGATTGCAACAAGTTGCTCCGGGCACCTTCCAACATCTGACGAACTTCGCGCTCAGCAAAAGACTTTGCTGAATCTACGTATTCAATGGAAGTTTGGTGTCTGTAACCCAAATCCTTAATGGCCCTGATCAATTCTGGGGAATTGTCAGTGTACACAACTTGAACATCATCCTTTGATCCAATGAAGTGATTCAAACCATCAACACAGCTTTGTGAGTCCTTGGACTGGCTAGGGTAGACATACCGATATTGGGTGTGCAGATCTTTCAACACCAACGCAACTTGCTCCCCCCTGAAACCCTCTTCTACATTTTTCTTGATGATGACGTGATCCCCAATGATGTGGTCACCAAACACTTCAGTTTCGATTCTCTTCTGACCACCCTTCTTTCGTGCCTGAGGTGCCATCATCCTTGCTCGTTGGCAAGTTCTGCAAAAGGGGTTCTTGGGGAAATGCGTGTACTGATGTTGGGTACTTGCAGCTTCAGCCAACAGATCCTCAGTCTTGCGGCTTCGGATGTACTCCTGCTGAGCGTCATCCTCCACCAACTCATCCAATTGCTCTTCATCTTGGGCTTCGTCCCGCTTGGCTTTTGAGCTCGACCGTGAGGTCGGCATTGCAAACAACTTTTTGAGGTGCTTATCCTTTTGAAATGGATCTTTGGGATAAACCTTGCAACTATCATCCAAGATTGGGACATGACCTTCGATCTTGAGCTGGACGACCTTGTCATCTGGACGGACTAGGATTGGTTTGCCATTGGCAGGCCATACGAAACTGTAACCCTGATCTACACATCTCGTTCCTACAGAGAGCACAGCTGGGGTATGATCAAGCACATACGGATGCACGGGATCTGGCAATGCGGACAACTTGACATCAGCAACTTCGTTTGCCTCAGTCGAACCGTTGGCTGTGACTAAGGAAATCGGATGCTCGGCTGCACGGCAGTTCTTGGCACTTACATCCCTCAGCATTTCTTTGGACACAAGATCGGATTCACTACCTGAGTCAACGAGCCAACTAACACCGGCCTTTGGCGCAGCTGTGGCAATTGACGGGAAACGACCAATGTCTCTAAGGGCTTTGGGACCGCTGATGAACCTGCACTCTTTGCATGTGATGTCACGTGTGTCCTCATCCCAACAACAAAACCCACAACTTGGTGCAACATCTGAATCATGAAGTTTCACAGTTTCTTGGAGCTGTCTTGCACGAACCTGAGCTTCATGCTGTTCAACCTTCGATGAAACTGGAACATCTTCAGCTGTCTTGTACACCTTAGTGAACTCTCTTGGACGGTGCTTGACTGGGACTTGACGACCGACTGCCTTCACCTCGATCACATGTGGGGCCTTTCGGAATCTAAGACGCTTCATGCTGACACTTGCCTCATCAGAGCACGAAGTTGCCTTCGGCTGTTTTCGGACGATGCATGCAAACTTGTGGATCAGACATGGAGCGGCTGTGGAATCCTTGCCCTTCTTCTTGGGAGCGGGTGAATTGGCCCTTTTGGTGTCTTTGGTGGCGGCAGCGGCTTTGTCATCATGTTTATAAAAACATTTGTCACCACGTCTGCACTTTCCCTGGGCATGATAGATGCATGGGGTTTTAGCCATTTCTTCTTTAGACATCTTCTTCCCCTTATCATCCTTATTGCCCCTTGGTGGTGAACGTGTTTTGGTGATTGAGTTCGAGATTTATCATCTTTGACATGCTTGAATGGACACTTCTTCCCCTTATCACAGGTACCCTTTTGGAACTTATAGCAAATCTTGTCGCCTTTGCCACCTCGTTCCTGCGATCTACCGCGACTTGGAGAGCCCTTTCGGCCGCCGCGACCATCGCCTTTGGCGGGTGCGGCCTTTGTGTCCTTAATCCCAGCCTTGTTCTTCTCCGCAATGCGGTTCCTGTTCTCCCTCAATCGTTCACGATCGATCAAGTTCTTCATGGATTGGTGAAGAAAACTGTAAGACTTTTCATGGGATTTCTCATGAGCACGGTCAAACACCTCGATGTCATATTTCAGGCAACTGACTTGGTCGGATCTGCCTCAACAAGATGTCCCTTAACACAGCATCATCAGGGGTGACAGCCATGCCAGCTAGGGTAGCATCCCATTTGTTGATGAATCTTCGGAGATCCTGGACAGTATCGCCTACTTTGACAACACCCAAAAGATCTTCTACTCTGTAAAGGCTACCTGCTTCTTGTGATGTCTTGAAGTAGTCCTCAAACATAAGCAGAACATATCTTCCCCTGACCTGGATGCCTTTTCGGGATTGCTGCTCCTTGAAATTCAAGATCCTAGTTGCGAGGTCCCCTCCGGCTGAGCGCGTGAGCGCTGCTGATAACTTTGTATCCAGCGTAAGGAACTTTCCAGGATCTTGGAGTTTCTTCTCCAACTGCTCTCTGGCGCACTCTTGATCGTACACCTCGTTGAGCCAGAGCCACGCCTCATCCGGGCGATCTGAACAGCTCTTCACTTCATCCCTGACATGATTCTTCCAAGTTCTATATGACTCCGGAGCGGGCATGTTGTTCAGCTTGATGAGTTCAGCCTCCTTAGTTTTTGGCTTATCCTTTTCTTCCCTTTGGGTTAAGGCTTTCACCAATTCAATAAGATCTGAGGGACCCATAACTTGCTGTTGCTTGGTTGCGCTCTTAGGAGATTCATTTGGGGGAGTTTTGATAGCTTCAGTGGGAGTGAAAAACCCTGACTGCGTTGGCAATTGGGGCTGGTCGTTGCCGACAGCCGGCTTTTGCTTGGGACTGCCACCTTTGAGCAGTTCATCCAACTTGGCCTTTGCTTCCTGCGCCAACACTGCAGGCGTCTTAAACTCAAGAATCGGCTCATCACTGCCTCTGGCAGCCTGTGCATCGGATGCTTTGGGAGTGGCAATATTGAAGTGGGGCACGCTAGTGGTAGCGGCCGGCTCGGCGTTCTGGACGGATGCTTTCGGAACGGAGGCATGCTGCGCTTTGGCAACATGCTTTAACTGTTCCTGAAGATCATCGATTTGGTCCTGAAGGCTAAGGTTCTGAGCCGCTGCCTCGTTGATCTTGTCGGCCATCTCCTTCTTGTAGTTCTCAAACTCAGTCCTCAAACTGATGAACCTGGCCTGATCAATTGCAGCCTGATCTTCATATTGCTTCTTTGTGGCAGCTATGGCATTCTTTGCATGTTCAACTGTCTGTGCATAGGAAGCTTCGAATTCACTAGTGATACGTTTCCTTTCCTCTGCAATTTTCTGATCATGCTTTGTGTTTGCCTCTGCCTTTACATCCTCTATTCTTTTGTCATGCGATGCCTGAGCCTGATTCAACCTGACCTCCATCTCGTCGCCTCGTTTCCTCTCCTCGTTGAGGGCACTAATGGCATTACCTTCTACCTCCTGCAGCCTTTGCTCATACTCCTGCTCCTGCATTACGAGTCTACTTGACCATTCGTTTCGAATTGAGTCAACTACTCCATGCATTATCTGAAGGTGCCTCTGTTCAGCTTCCCTCATGACTTGCAGGGTATTCCCACTAGTAATCTGGGACAGGTTGTTTTGTATGAAGGTAAAGTACGCAACAACGGGTTGGAACATTGTTTCGTCATCCATCGGCTCGGGGTTGCCCCCGGCCATATTAGGCACAGCGACAGCCGATGGACCTGACCCTGGAACGGCGAGAGGATGGTCAATTGGGGTCCCCATAGCAAAGTAGTGAGACTACGGCTGATAACCTGTATTTTACCAGGTCAACCGACAATGGGGTGAAATACTAAGCTAACACCGTTAAGCACTCAGCTCTTTTGAACCAACGCTATCGGGCAGATCGATGATATATACAATACATGGTTTTACTGCAGGAGTTTTTACATTTATTTTATAATTTTGAGTCTTGGATCTTGGATCCATGGGCACTGGGATCCCAAGTCAGACAGCTGGTCAGCTTGAAAATCCCAAGTCTGAGGTCCCACCTGCTATCTTCAATAGTGTCATATATGTATATATGTAAATGTATATGTGCATCTATATGTATTATCAAATGTGTTCAGGTAGATCTCCGGGGGAGTATGATTGTACTACTGTACTATATCATATCACATTGCGTGAAAGCTGTTAATACAGATTGTCAAACCCTCATGCCATGGCATGTGGATAAACCCTTAAATAACGCGTGTGTCTAGAGACAAATATGTGGGCAGCAATAGGCACAACATGCAGGTCAAAGGTCGCTATATCACCGCACAAATCGCGGGTAAGCATGCTCCATTGCATTAGTTGCGCTATCAACTGAAACATAGGGGGATGATCCTAAGAGTAAAAATAGTATACGTATAATTACTACTGACTTTGCACCATTCATGCTGCTATGACCCAGCTAGCTGCAAGATGTTCATGCATTACAGTGACATGGTTCCAGAACAAAAGGCGATTCCCAAATAATCGCCCAATCAAAAAGAATGCGGGAAAAAAACAATGGAAAAAGGCAACCTTAAATCCACGGGATTCCACGGGGTCATCATCATTCTTGCTCTTAAACTCGCAACAACTTGGAGGTGCTGAAACCGCCCAGCAGCTCTGACATCAGCATGAAAGAGATTGACGTCGAATCGCGCACCTCGAAGACCACCTGTTTTCTGCCAGGCCGCAACAAACCTTTCACTATCCGGTATATGGACCAGGTAGTTTGGAATACCACAAACTCCTTTCAAAAAAATGCCTTTGGAAATCTGTGGGATATTTTGGAATATGAAATATGATATGCCTTTCACCAATAGATCCCAATTTAGTCGCACATCATCTGGCGATGGATCCATAGGTTTAGATTTTTTAGCCCCCCAACATCAAATCACTTGACCCGTGTCCATTAGACTCGTCGTCTTGACCCATCTTGGCATCCCTTTGAGGCAATGGTGTGTCTGGAAAGTGAGGATCCCCCAGTACATGGCCATTCGAATACGGAAAATTATCGTATGAACCGTGGGATTTTCTGATTGTTTGAACAACATCAACAGCCAACAGCCCCAATGTGATTTTGAAGCGGCGAGCACAGCCAGACATCAGGTTGGTTACTTCACCCTTTGCCCCGCAAGTCACCCTACTTAACAACAGAATCGACACAATGTCATGGAATCTCCACTTAGAAGTATACCCGCAACTCTGCCGAATTGGATAGTAAAAGTAAGCCAAAACTTAGCTGGTGATTTGGGTTGATGGGCTGGATTCCTGCGAATTGCCTATCGGCCCTATCGCGACTACTCCCTTTGCACTTTTGCATCCTCGGGTTACCCCGGGGCCCCAAACCACCAGCATCCACCAGCTAACCGCTGGCTTAGGGACAATGAAGATCCCAATGTCCACTAGGGCATACAGGATGTCGAATGGGATCTTCACTGACTTGTCCAAAAAACCAAGCTGGGCAATCCGCCCAGTTGCAAGGAAGGGCTGCATGGCAGCAAATGAGACGAGGTCTGTTGCATAGGTTGCATTCAAAATCCTCACACGATCATTTCAAGAAGATTCCTTTGACATAGGGCCGCAATGGGGGATGCAACAACAGCAGCAACAGCAATAGCAACAATCGCAACAAACGCAACAATCGCAACAACAAAAACAACAGCAGCAGCAGCAGCAACGCCAACAGCCAAGAACAAGAACAAGGACGAGGACAAGGGCAAGGACGACGACGACGACGACGACCACCACCACCACCACCACCACCACCAGAACAACAACAACAACAACAATAAGAAAAAGAACCAGAAAAAGAAGAAATAAAAAACCAAAAGCAAGAGCAAGGACAAGAACAAGGAGGAAGAGGAGGAGGACGAAGAGGACGACGATGACAACGACGGCGACGACGACTGTGGTGGTGTCAAGTGCAGCAATAACAAGAAGATCAGCAAGAACGAAAAGAACAGTAAGAACAAGACTAACAAGACCAGAACAACATACAAAAACACGCAACACGAGAAAATGCAATCACAAGAAAAAACACACAAAAAAAAACAATGACGGCAACATTGGCAATCAACCAGCCAATGACTTTTTGGTGGTTCCTTAGAGCAATCGAAAAGGGACATCATTGGTCTCAATGAAATCAATAGAAATTTTCAAAGGCGTGAAGGAGTCCAACTCGGACTGTAGAGGCCATTCTCGATGGTTATTGTTTTTTCTTCTAGAAGGCAAATTCTCACCATTTCTCATCGTCAGTGAAGATCTTTCAGAATGGCCAGTGCTACGTTTTCGACCGCTGTTCCGCAGCCTGCGATTTCGCCAAGTCTCATGAACACAAGGGAACAAATGTGGATGGAGTAGCAAAAGCTCTTCATTCGCTCAGGAGTCAGCTGGATGAGTTCCTTGCCCACCACGCAGTGCATCAAGTAGAAAAAGAGCCCCGCCGCGCACTGAGCCCCGCTGATGAGGTTAGGCTCCAGAAGTGCCACCCGCACAAAAGTTAAAAAGAGTGGAAGTGCCACATGCGCCACACCTCGGTGAGTTTTCTTGTTTGGAGTTTGGACACCTTGGCACCCCCTTGCATGGGAGCCCTATGCCGATAAGCCTTCCATAATCTCCCATACTAGTCCCACAAGAAACCCCAGTACCAGTAGTGTGGGAAGCTTTTGGGAATAGGGGTAATGTTGGATGGGCAATAGTAAAGCGCGTGCAATAGCTACAACTTTTTTTTACAATCTGATTTTTTCAGCCCCTATTGATTTTAAATTAGGCCTTATTGATTTTAAATTACAGACATCAATCTTGGTCCAGAGCATCTGCAATAATTTTGCTGCATGCACAATAGCTGCAAATAATTTTCAGAAAATGCCCAAATTATCAGATCTTCCAACACTAAATTGTCAAAGGGCTAATTGATATTTAGTGAACGGTTTTCAATTGTGATTGCATGCGTTTCAAAAGCAAGAACAAAGCAAACCTTTGCCAAATCAGAAACTTTACCTTGTTCAAAAAAACTGTTTTTTCTTATTAAAATCCTTTGAAAAAATTGCAAGCAACAGGTCCACAAAGGGTACCCCCTTGCAGGTCCTTGCATTTGCAATTGAAAATTGGAATTAGCACTTGCAATAAAAAGCAACCTTTCTGGCTCTAGCTGTATTTTTTCCCTTCTTCCTTAGTGTTTTTGATTGTGGCTGAACGGTTTTTAATTGTGATTGCACGCTTTTCAAAAGCAAGAACAAAGCAAACCTTTACCAAATCAACATTTTTACCTTGCTCAAAAAAGTCGTTTTTTTAATTAAATTCCTTTTGAAAAAATTGCAAACAACAGGTCCACAAAGGGTACCCCCTTGCAGGTCCTTGCATTTGCAATTAAACATTGGAATTAGCACTTGCAAAAAAAACCTTTCTGGCTCTAGCTGTGTTTCTTGTCCCTTCTTCCTTAGTGTTTAAATTGTGGCTGAACGGTTCTTAATTGTGATTGCATGCGTTTCAAAAGCAAGAACAAAGCAAACCTTTGCCAAATCAGAAACTTTACCTTGTTCAAAAAAACTGTTTTTTCTTATTAAAATCCTTTGAAAAAATTGCAAGCAACAGGTCCACAAAGGGTACCCCCTTGCAGGTTCTTGCATGTGCAATTGAAAATTGGAATTAGCACTTGCAATAAAAAAACAACCTTCTGGCTCTAGCTGTATTTCTTTTCCCTTCTTCCTTAGTGTTTTTAATTGTGGTTGAACGGTTTTTAATTGTGATTGCATTGGATTTGTCAAAACCTTACAGAAGCCTTGGGGAAGAGTTGGGATTTTCGATTTACTATTGCAAAGCAGACCCCCCTAAAAAAAAAAATAGGGGGGGAGCCTCCCCTTTACTATTGTCATGTAACATTACAATTCTGCGAGGTCCTTAAATTCCATGGATTTTTGCTGGTTTCATGAATGGCTCTATAGAGGAACATGCTGAAAAGGGAGGCGCCAAGACACTTTTGCTTATCACAGCATAGTTTTGCCTGCGTAGCTTAAAGATCTCCTGTAAGGTTTTAAAGCACCCAACTGCGGCAGCACATGCCCCGTTTTCGAACACGTTCCAAATACGAATGGCGATGTTCGATTGTTTGCACACCAGAAAGAAAACTAACTGCGAACTCACCAAACTGTTGTTTCCTCACTCAGTAATTGCGCCGGACCATGAAGCGCAGCTCAAAGAGGACCCGTCCCTAACTTGGAGTGTAGCCTAACATTGGTGCGATTGGGGTCTCAATATTTTTGAACTGTCGAATTATAATTTGGCATTGCTATGTTAGATGATTTGGTCCATATACGGGCTGTGCATCATGTGATTCTATGCGATTCTATCACAACCAGTTGGTGCTTTCAACTCAAACTGAAACATACTATATAGTATATAACTTGGAAAAAACACGAAGATGTGAAAAATACGATCCCACTTTTCGACAGTGACAACTTACAAAAATCATTAATTTTCAGGGGTTACAAAATTGCCTTGTCCGTGGGAATCATCTGGATTTCTGCCTGTCCTCTTCCACCCTTCGGTCTTTGTCGCCAATCTCTTGTTTTAAAAATGCTCCCATAGTCAGTTGGGTGCTGATCACATGCTTAACCGTGGCAAAGTCCCAAGTCAGAGCGCCAAAGGTCCTTATGGGAGGATCGAACAAGTATCTGGAAATCCCACGCAATCCCCAAACCAAACGGAGGTTTCAACATGTTTTGATGGGAACATGATCCGTTTACAAATGGGGCATTGTCCAGCAAACTAGGTGTTAAAGACTACAAATGACTACAATATCTGGAAACAACACGGTCTCACCCCTTTGGGGATAAGTCAAGGTACATATGAAAGATCCAAAAAAATCCCAGCGATTTCAAGGTGTGAACCCAAGGGACCTGATCCGGTGAACTGGCCCCACACCATCCTATTTTAGTCTACGGTCAGGAACTGAAACAACTAGGCTTGTATGTAGGTGAGTAGTTCAAGTAAACTTCTAGTCACTAGTTGTCTATTTCTATGGACTACCAAAAGTTATACCGGCAAGAGACCCCAAACAGTGTGTGTGTATGTGAGGATAGTATATGACATTTTTGAGGATGATCATCATGATGATGATGATGAGGATGAGGATGAGGATGAGGAGGAGGAGGAGGAGGAGGAGGATGAGGTGCAGGATGGTGATGTTGAGGAAATGATGATAATGTTGAAGAGGATGAGGTGCAGGATGGTAATGTTGAGGATGATGAGGTGGACGATGAGGATGAGGATGATAATGCGGAAGATGGAGTGGAGGATGATAAGGTGGAAGTGATGATGTTGAGAAAGATGATGTGGAGGAGGAGGAAGATGATGATGTTGAGGATGATGATGATGTGGAGGAGGAGGACCTATCCCAAGACCGCGACCCACACTTTAAATGTGCGAGTGTGTGCGGTCGAAATGCATTTGGGTATGTTACAGGAGCCATTGTACGCGGAAATTTACAGGAAAAATGCCGATTCCTAGATGGATTCCGAGACCGGGACCCACACTTTGTGCGAGCCTGCGCAGTCGAAATGCAAGTATAGACATGTCACAGGAGCTATTGTATGCGGAATTTTAAAGGAAAAAATCCGTTTCCTAGATGGAGTCCGAGACCGGGACCCACACTTTGTGCGAGCCTGCGCAGTCGAAATGCAAGTATAGACATGTCACAGGAGCTATTGTATGCGGAAATTTAAAGGAAAAAATCCGTTTCCTAGATGGAGTCCGAGACCGGGACCCACACTTTGTGCGAGCCTGCGCAGTCGACATGCACACGGACATGTCACAGGAGCCATGCGGAATTTACAGGGAAAATGCCGCCCGCCAGAGTGAGCACCTCGATCAAGCACCGGCCTCTATCCCTACCGCAAGAACCCATCAGTGTGGACACACTTTTCCGGAAAAAAACTCAAGTGGTTCAAGTGTCATCCGGACATGGAACAGCAGCACCAAGAGTGTCACGATCCAGAAACATCTAGAGGAATCCAGAAATGGAAAATCAATGGCACCATCATCCATCAGATTCAAGAAACACCACTAAAACACTGCAGGTTCCTGCAGGAGAAATCGGCTTCACACACCCTTGAGCCACAGCATGTGTGTGTGTGTTTTTGTGTGTGTGTTGGTGTTGTGCATATTTAAGCCATAATTTCTGCTTTCAGCAGAGTCACAAGTCTCTCGGTTTTGCAAATCCCACATGTGACATGTGCATCACAGGTTTGTTTTCGTGTCACTTCCTTGTTTTAGCAGTCGCACAATATCAAAGGTGGCTGAATTATAGCACTTCACTCACAGCAGATAATTTTGGAAGAATTCCCCCAATCCTAAACATCATCTCAGCCACCTCGCAAGGTTCGTTCCTTGTAATTCACCCAGATCTGTTGCTAATTGAACATCACGGTGATACATATTCTTGTATATTCTTACTATGCCATTAGCGGTTGCATCATCCTCCGCATTTGTGGTGATACAAGTAAATCGCGCAAGGCGGGTGGCGGAAGTTTCCAAGTTTAAGGACTGTGACGCTATAGGATCCAAAGACAAGGTTTGCCTATAGGAGCTGCAGAGGACTTCCATGCTCTTGCCACGACTTCTCACCTCTTGTCGCAACTCTTCCAACCACTTCTCAACTCTTCCAACGACTTCTCACCTCTTGTCAACTTTTCTCAACGTCCTTCATCTCTGTGCGCATCTACTTGACTCTCCTCAACTCTCCTTTCATCTCTCTCTCTCTTCTCTTCTCAAATCCTTTCAACTCGTGTTGCGTCACCTCACCTCAGTTCCACTTGTTCAATTTTTCTCAGCCCGGTTGAAGTGACGCAAACGTTCTTTTTCAGCCCAGTTGAACTGCCTTTCCATCCGACCGATCCGTTTGACTCACTCAAGTTGCGGTCGGCTTATTTCAAGATACCTTTACCTTCGGGGCAACTATCCGTCTTCGATTGTCTTATCAGTTTCTGCGACACAATCACTGTTTCAACTTTCGCTTGTCTTATCATTCTCGGGTCATGTGCTACTGTCACCCGTGAGTCGAACGTTCAAGCACGCTTGAGCCGCAGCAATTTTTTTGACGCGCGCGAAGCGGTGTGACGTCACGAGCAGGCATCTGTCAAGAGCGCGCGTGAGCAGCACAGCCGCACGCTTCTTTGAGTGTGGCTTGCGCAGGCAGCACAGCCGTGCGCATCACCATCGCCGTGTCAGATCTCCAAGCTGTCGGTTCTGCATTCCAGCCTGCGCAGCGTATCTGGAAACTGACAGCCAGATCACGTCTGCAGGTTTCTACTAATCATGCCGTTTAAACATTTCTACTTCACGCAGGTTTCTACTTCACGCAGGTTTCTACTTCACGCAGGTGTGTCTTCTCTACTCTACCTCTACTGGACTCTACGCTACTATACCTAGACTCGACTCTACCTCTACTGTACCTCTTCTCTGCTTCACGCCGGTGCAAACTGGACACAATGATCTTTGGGCTAGTGAAAATGTGACTTCATGATCTCTTAAAGCACATGCCAACTGGACACAATGATCTTTGGTTGGTGAGAATGGTTACTTTCCGTAACTCGGAGATTCTCTACGAAACTTCCTTTGATTATGCCTATTTATGATGCCATGGTCAGGTTGGTATATGGGTATATTTATATATAATACAATATAATTTATATATATATATATGTAAATATATGTATATACATATATATATATATATACACATACATAGATATACATACATACATACATACATACATACATACATATATATACATAGATATACATATATATACATAGATATACATATATTATACTCATATATGTATACACATACATAATCATACAAATGTATATATACGTATACATGGCCTATGGTCATCCATTCCACAGAAATCCTAACCATTGCTATTGATGGTAGTTATCCATCCCCCGAGGACTGGATAGCACAGATGGCTAAAATCTATGGTCCCATAGGGTTTAAATTTTGACTCATCCCCATATTGGTCACAACATGTCACAACTGAGGTACTTCTCATTTTTAAACAAACTCGAAAGGGAGCCCTGGATCTCCCAGACCATCCCGTAATTCTGAAAACCAATGGTCATTCAGTCAGTAAAGGCATTTAATTATTGTTTCTATGGCTTCTCTTATAGTCCGAATGATCCCGGGCCCCGGCATCTTCTAATTCAGAGATGTGTGAAGCATGAAAGAGAACCAAATGAAAAACAGTTCAGGTATACTTGGATCATGTGCGCTAAAATTACCTCGACTTTCATCGAAATCTATGGGTGTCCCCTCAAAAACGTCACCCCCCCACCAAATAAGGCCTTGTTGGGGAGCTATGAAGCCCCATCAACCCTATCAGCTTTTGAGTCTAGAGGAGATTAGGGTATGTATATATCGTCCTGCGCTTCCCCAAAGGAATAGAGTACAATCCTACTCAAACAGTGATTCATCTTTTATTGCCATCTTCTTTGGTTGAAGGGTGGCTATATATTCCATACTATTTGGATAAAATCCAAGCTTTCCGTCGCTGTAGATCATTGGGTTGAAGAAAACATGTGTCGGAAACCATGTATTTCTTTTTTTTGCAGTACTGTAGTTTTCATGATACATTTCGTTCAGATTCTTTAAGTGAGCCATCGCGCCATCTTAGAAACTCAAAGTTCACGAAAAGGACACCAAACAAAACGGGAAGGTCCATCGCTTACAACATGTGTTCATTAAGAAAAGGTGCAGCAAATTTGAAGGGAATCGCTTGAAGGAAAATGATGTATGTGCACACATAGGACTTCAAAGGAGGTATCGCTTACCTCCTGTTTGTACAATTTCCAAAACACCGAGGTCCGTTCCTTACATCTTTCCTATTAGTGGAGTTTTTGCGGTGGCTCGAGAGTTACTAGGTTCCATTGATAGAAATCTACAGGAAATGATTAGCAAATGTCCTGCAGTCCCCGAGGGGTCACCACAAAAATTGTTTCAGGAAGTGAAGAGATGATGTTAATTCTGTTTATCCCAAGATTTCTGAAATTATCCTAAGTTTCCAACTGTTGCATCTATTTCAGGATTGCTGTAAACCGACCTGCAATCCCTATGGTTGGTTATAATCATCAACAGTGTAAATATATATATACATATATATATACATATATATATATATACATATGTATATATATACATATGTATATATATGTATGTATATACATGTATATCATAAATATATATATATGCTCTGTATATCTATATGTGCCCAGGGTTGTAAATCTCCGGTGACTCATCAACCATGCCTGGGTTAATGGCTGCATCAATCTGAATCCGCATCAGGCCGTCGATGTTGACGTCGATGCCTCGGACTTTCGCTTCGCCAAATTAGGGAAACAACTACAACCGGGCGAAACCCGCGTTTACGATCTGGATTCATGGTGGATTCATAGTATAGTAGTATAGTATATTTTATGACATTACATTATATTATATTGTATTGTACTAGTTGGCTATGATCTACAGGTTATATCCTTGTGACCGTGACCTGATCATACTGTCAACAATCCAATTCACTCCCTTGGTGCAACCCCAACGAACCATCACCAGAGATACACTGATCATTGCGTAAGCGTAAGTAGGGGTCTCCTTTTTTAAGATGCCGAAAGCTGTTGCCAGAATGTTAGTTCAATGGCGTGTCCTCCATAATTTCCAGGTGTCCAACTGTTTAAAATCTATTTTGGGGTTGCCAACTTGGCACGGTCTCATCATGTCTCATCCCTCTGGCGACTCTGGCGCTCACGCTGTGGATTGCAGAGTGGTCAACATTCTTTCGTGTCGAAACTGGATGAATCAACCATGGTTGGTCAACTTAGGGGGAAGTCCCCAAACAATGATCATCGGCAACTCAAATGCCAATGGTTATTTCACATAGCGGAAGCCAAGACCCATAGAAAGTCCCATAGAAAGTTCCATGATAAAAATCATGATGAATCCCCTTACAAACGGTGATTTTCCAGGTTGCTACGTTACCATCGAGTACTCCCCTTCATTCCGAGTCACGAGAAACAACACCCCGCGTCACGGAGATGTTCTCTCCTCCCACTGGAAAGCCAATGCACCTGGGAGACAAATAGCAATTGTCATGGAAAAAGACGTAAAAATATGGCCAAATACTGTATTTTGGAGCATGATGATTATCGTTATTTAAAATTGTACAAATACGTAATTACCCCATGTTCAAACAACCCAATGTCGGTATTGATCGACACCAGTAATTTTAATGGGCTAACTGATGGGTTAGATGGGGTTAAACCCCAATCACTAAGAATCCCCTGGTCATATTACGCATCTTTATATGTCTTTGAATTAAGGAAAAAAACAAACGACGAGGCCTGCAACATACACATCTGCATGGATTATAGCAATTCACCTGCCCTGAAACTTGCGGCGGCAATACTTTCCCCAATCCTAAACATCATGCCACTGACATCGCAGGGGTTGCTATCATTCACAGGAATCCATGATATTCCAAGACATGTCATATCAGTAAATCCATTAATTCTAACACAGTGCAACCCCAAGCCCCCATTGCAAGCACATTGCAGTCAATGACCTGAAGGAAGAACAGCCACAGGCCCTTATTCCATATATTCGAGGATGGCACGGCTTGCAGAGCTTCGCAAGGGCAGTTACTATGGATTGGTTTCCAGGGAAATCATGGAACATAATGTTGACCTACGATTTTTAAACCCCCCTTAAATAAAGCTAAATTTTCCAAAAAAATATTAAATGACCCCTAAATAAAGCTAATTTTTTTTGGCCCTTAACCCAGATTTGCCCAGATGGGGCTGACCAACACCTTTATTCAAAAATGATAGCTGGAAATTGTCAAAAATGACGGATGCTCTTTCTATTCAAAACCTTTACTTAGACTTATCCAAAATCAACTCCAAATCAACTCATCAAGGGTACCCCCCATGAGGTGCCTTAGCACCAATTAGACTTTGACCCTGAATAAAGCTACTGAGCTTCCCCCTCCCGCTGATCAAGAAATGAATACCGCATCAATACCAAATCAATACTAAAACCATGAAATGAATACTACATCAATACTAAATCAATACTAAATCCATGAAATGAATACTAAATCAATACTAAATCCATGAAATGAATACTAAACCAATACTAAATCCATGAGATGAATACTAAATCAATGCTAAATCCATGACATGAATACTAAATCAATACTAAATCCATGAGATGAATACTAAATCAATACTAAATCCATGACATGAATACTAAATCAATACTAAATCCATGAGATGAATACTAGATCAATACTAAGTCCATGACATGAGTACTAGATCAATACTAAAACAATTGCTGGATTCCTTTTTTTCCCCACCTGCCAGGTGAAGGTTGTTAGATTTTATCAGAGCTGTTCTCCTCCTCCGCCTCCGCATCCTCCTCCTCCATCTCCGCCTCCTCCTCCTCGCAGTCCAGATCCCAGTGGGCACAGCCGGACCTCCACCGCGCGCCAGATCGCAGTGGGCACTGCCGGACCTCCACCGCGAGCTCAAGATCCCAGTGGGCACTGCCGGACCTCAACCGCGACTTCCAGGTTGCAGTGGGCACTGCCGGACCTCAACCGCGACTTCCAGATCGCAGTGGGCACTGCCGGACCTCAACTGCGACTTCCAGGTCGCAGTGGGCACCGGACCTCAACCACGAGCTCCAGATCCCAGTGGGCACTGCCGGACCTCAACGGCCAGATAGAATGCCAGAAGATATGCCAGAATGTCAGATAGAATGCCAGAAGATATGTCAGATAGAATGCCAGAAGATATGCCAGATAGAATGCCAGAAGATATGCCAGATAGAATGCCAGAAGATATGCCAGATAGAATGCCAGAAATGCCAGATAGAATGCCAGAAGGTATGCCAGATATGTCAGATAGAATGCCAGAAGATATGCCAGATAGAATGCCAGAAGATATGCCAGATAGAATGCCAGATAGAATGCCAGAAGATATGCCAGATAAATGCCAGAATGCCAGAACATATGCCAGAAGATTTGCAGATAGAATGCCAGAGATATGCCAGAACATATGCCAGACCAGATAAGATATGCCAGATAGAATGCCAGAAGATATGTCAGTCAGATAGAATGCCAGAATTTATGCCAGAAAGAATGCCAGAAGATATGCCAGAACATATGCCAGAAGATATGCCAGATAGAATGCCAGAAGATATGCCAGATAGAATGCCAGATAGAATGCCAGAAGATATGTCAGATAGAATGCCAGAAGATTTGCCAGTAAGAAAATGTATAAATGCCATGGTGGGGATCATTCGAAGTGAAGTAATTTTTGAAATTGCATTTTATGTATTTGTTTTCAATTGTGGTAATTTAAAACATTTACATACAAACAAGTTTGATAGGGGAAAAGAGGGGGGGGGCTATTTATAAATCATAGGTGGACATTATACAGGAAATCCTAATTTTGGAGTCCCAAAATTGATGTTTAACAGTAAAATTCCCATCAAGAAAATTCTGGGACTGTGGTATGTTGTGGTATGCCGGTATGCCTTACTCAACTGCGGATGCCTGTGACTGAGTTACAACGAGCAGCAGGTCCCAAAAAACTGTAAGGAGCGGATGCCAACCATTCACTTCTGGGCAAATGAATACGATCATACACTGGAAATACGCCATGTTTCTGGGTAAATTACGATAGTTCACCAACCTGAAATAAGCCGGTTGTTCTCCGTTGGTTTCTGACCACTATAGATAGTTAAATGAACCATTGGCACAGGGATCTTTAAATCCCATTTAATCTCATTCAATCCCATGAATGATTATAAAATCCCATTACACCCCCATTGAATCCCATTCAATGATGGTCAAATCCCCATCTTAAATGTTGAATCGCCCATTCATCAGTTCTCCATATATCCCCATGTTGGTGGTCAAAGCCCATCACTCCCTCCACTTCGGGAAGGGCGGGCCCGGGAAGGGCCCCAGACGTGACGTTGTCGTCCAGCTTGGGCAGCTCCCTTGAGAGTTTCAAGGACTCCTGGCCGATGAAATTCGGCCACGTTTCGGGCTTCACCAATCCATGGGGATTCCATATGCCATATGTATCTGGGTATAATGTGAGCTGATATATATATATATACATACATACTGGTTGGTGGTCTACCTACCCCTCTGAAAAATGATGGACTTCGCCAGTTGGGATGATGAAATTCCCAATATATGGGAGAATAAAAAATGTTCCAAACCACCAACCAGTATATATAATTGGATACATGGTAATACACGGTAAATAAGTATAATATAATATGGCATATGGTGGTTTAGAAGCGAAAAAGAATCCCATCCCGCTAATATCAAACACTCCCATTGGATGGTCTCAATTATGTGGAATTTCCATGGAGACCCCACTAAACCATGGTTTCGTTTAGGGGGTGTTTAATATTTTGGGGGAAATAATGAATTGGATGACGTGTGATAAGATGAGTTGTTACATATATATATAATTAGATACATGACATCATCCAATATATCTATATAAATATATATGTATATAACATTAATATCGTATGGTTGTGATAATATATATATACACACATACGATATAATTGGATACATGACATATATCAATCCAATTGATCCAGCGTTGATCTCATTGGATGATGTGTGATAATAAGTTTTCATTAAGGGTTTATAAGCCCCAACAGTTAAAAAATATATATATATTCTATAAGGTGTTTGTTTTCTTTGAGGGTTTATTAACCACCAACAACCACAATTAAAGGATATTAGAATGGTTTATTAAACATCTATTATTTGGGAGGGTGACCGAAATGTGAGGTTGGTTGAATCGCCATGATTATCATGAAATAATTCATGATTGACCCTCCAGGAATTTCATTTAGCCATGGAAAACCAATATGGTTTAATAGGTACATCCCATATGAATGGGACATGTTCCATAGCTATATTAAATTACCTAGAGGGTATGAATTCATCTGCAAACAGGTGAAAACAAAACATGTGATTCCACCAGCACATTTCTGGATTTTCTGCCAAGCTTGGAGGCGTAAACTTGCACCTGGCTGATCCACGGGCGAGGTTGCCTAGTCGCGTTGCATGTTGACATGGCCATCTTACAGATGCCCTGTGAACAAATGGCTGCTAGTATGTGTATATATATATATAAATAATTATATATAATTTTATATATATATATATACATATTTACTTATACAGAAAAATGCGTAACATCCGCATTACCCCTCCAGTAAACAAAGATAGATATGGAACATCCAGTTGGAACAGCCAGTTCCAAACGTAGATCGTTTCGGAGCGGGAAGCAACCATTGATTTCCATAGACTTCTGTTACCTTTCTGGATATTTCCGTTACACCACCATTTTTCGATGGTTTTTCAGCCACTCATCCGCTGGGTTTCCAGCCAGTTTCCACAAGTTCTCTCCTTGCCCCGCCAGAAGTTCTCTTCCACTTCCAGCACTGCGAGATCACCTCGACGTGGTGATTTTCCATAGCAAACTCTTGATTTACCAGAAGGTATGTTTACAACTGGTTGGTGGTTTCAACGCCTCTGAAAAATATGAGTCAGTTGGGATTATTATCCCCAATATGTAAAAATAATGTTCCAAACCACCAACCAGTACAAGTTTCTTTTTTCAATACACCTGTTCTCACTTTTACATGTTTTTTTTAGACGGCTGTTGTCACTTTCCACTTCCATATCATCTTCGGCCCATCATAAGGGGTTTTCCCCCAAAATTGACCTGGGAAAGGGGTATGACATAATTACTGGGTTTCCACAGTATAATGTGTCATAAATATGTCATTAATGTGTTTTAATATCATGAAATCACAAGTCACCGTACACCATAAATATAATTAATAAAATATGTTTTAATATGTCATTAATATGTTTTCCCCCATACACCATACAAAATCATGAAATCACAAGTCACGTCAAGTCACCGTAATCGGACCCAGTTAGCCCATGACAAGTCCGGGGGCCAAAATTCCTGCACAGACGAAAGTCCAATCCTTGCTGAGAAAATCCCAATGTTGAAAGGATTGGGTAAAGGCCAAAATAATTCACCTAAAATAAGACCATAAAAAAGGTTATAATTCCCCGAATCCTAAGCATTATTCCAGGGTTCGGGAGAACAGGGTTCGGTCGTGATGCAATTTACCCAGAAATATGGTAAAATTGGGTGCAAGTCCCATCTCATTGGTAGTTTCTTTTCACCCCGCCGGCCCGTATATTTCTGGGATCATCATCCCAACTATGTTCGAAACTACACCATGGGTTTGTCTGAACATAGGGAGTAGCCCCAATTTCACTGGGTTATTTATATAATATATATGCATGCATAATACATCTACAGAAATCTACAGTATATGATCAGTATATGTATATATATACACAATCATGATCGCCTACATAGAATATGCACTTTTTCAACCCTTCGGGTGTGGACAGAAAAACAAATATTTGGGGTAGCAATATTTTGGGTGGAATCTTGGCGTGCACAAACAGAGCCAAAGCAAATACCATAGGAATAACGATGGTTCCATATCGAAAACATGTGTGGTACCGAGCAGATTGGACATTTTTTCGGTTCTATCAATTGGAGAATTTGGAGAAAGCAAGGAAAATGGAGAGAAGAGTAGAAGAGATAAACATATTTTTGGACACCCTCAAAAAAACAATACTTCAATGGTTTTGGGTTCTGGGTTCTGGGTTCTAGGTTTGGGGTCCCGAAAGGCCCAGGGTCCAGATTTGGCGCCCGGCCCTGTCAAACAAACATTTTTATAATGGCAAAACACATATTCTTTTGGAAGGCCTCGAAATTTTGAATTTTAGGGGTTCAGGGTTTTGAAATCTGAATACATATTCAGTATTGGGGGTTCTGGGTTTTGGGTTCTGGGTAACTTTTGGATCAGGATTGAGGAAAGAAATGGGTTCCCCAAATTGACCAGCTATTTAACTACGTTTTTCAACATTAAAGAAGACAATTTGAAGTTCACAAGAGGGTCCCCCTACAAATTACCAAATAAGGCAACCATTGCATTGACAAACTGTACCATGTTCATCCATATTCTATGTATGAAGTTCTGCAGCTGATAACTGATGGCAACCCAAACAAAGAAAAGGAAAAACAAAGGTACGTAGAGAAGAGAATGCAAGCGGGCACCTGCAAAAGAACAATACAGACAATACGTCAATAACTTTTGCATCAGGATTGTGCAAAAAAATGGGTTTCCCAAAATGACCAGTTTTTGACTACATTTGACATTAAAGAACGCAATTTGATTTTAACAAAAGGATCCCCCCACGAGTTGACAAATTTGAGGCAATCATTGTATTGACAAATGTACCATGTTCATCCATATTCTATGTATGTATTCCTGCAGCTGAGAACTGATGGCAGCCCAAACAAACATGTGAGAAAAAAGGAAAAACACGGATAGGAAGAGAAGAGACTGCAAACGGGCACCTGCAAAAGAACAATACCTCAATTACTTTTGGGTCAGGATTGTGGAAAGAAATGGGTTTCCCAAATTGAACAGTTTCATGTCATTTTACATTAAAGAATGCAATTTGACGTTAACAAAAGGATCCCCACACAAGCTGGAAATCACCGTCGTCCCTTTGCGGAACTGATTTGAATCACATGCGGTTGCGGCAATCCAAGCCTCTGTCAATTTTTTTTCCCCGAATCGAAAACGGATAGTTTTCATGTTCTATGTAAAGGGTTTCTTTCGATTTCGGAACATGTTTTTATTCTATGTATATTTTTTGCCGCTTCCGGAAGATGTTTTTTGAGGCCGAAATTATCGATTCTATATTTTACGTATCCCATCATGATTTATATATATATATATATATTCAAAATTGCCATTGGGGGTGGTACACCCCATGTTCAGACAACCCCATATTATTTTGCTTCGTAAATCCCAATGAACTCCTTAAAAAATCGTAAAAATATTGTACGTGACCAATATTGTTTGGTTGTGTCTCATAGAAACCCACAGTTTCTCCACCCAAAATCTGAGATACCAGGCAGGGAAGGCCTAGCGCCACCACCCTGGACCAGCGATGTTTGATGACAGCCCCCACGTGGCATCCCCATTGCAGCCATACGCCAAATGGAAAATCCCTGAGAATCCCATGAGAAAACCCATTGGAACCCACCCATTCCCTGGAAGAAAACATCATGAAGCACAGTTTTTTCTACAAAACTAGGGTACCAAAGCCCAAATCTCCACTGGTTGATCACCATTTTCCCCAGAATACCAGTAGTACCGCACAGGGCGGTGGCGGAAGTTTCAAAGATAGGACACTGTAGGAGAGGTGAGTTGTTGTGATGCATGGATGGCAGAGTGAACCCACTGATGGACCGAAAGGTGCTTGGAGTTGTGATTTTTGGAATGGTTGCAATGGTTGCAGCGGTCACCTCACCCACAACTGCTGGATGTAGTGTGGTGCAGTGCAGCTGTAGCTGTAGTTGTAGTGTAGTGAAGTTGTAGCTGTAGTGTAGTGGAATTGGTGTTGTGTAGTTGTAGTTGTGGTGTGGTGCAATGACTGTAGTGTAATGTCATGTAGTGTAGTGTAGTGTAGTGTAGTGTGCTGTAGTGTTGTGTTCTGTGTGTAGTCTAGTCTAGTGTGGTCTAGTGTAGTGTAGTTGTAGTTGCAGCTGTAGTTGTAATTACTTAGTGTAGTGTAGCGTAATGTAGCGTAATGTAGCGTAGTGTAGTGGAATTAGTGTAGTGTATTGCAGCGTAATGTAGTGGTAGTTGGAGTTGTAGTTTTAGTGTAGCGTAGTGTAGTGTAATTAATTAGTGTAGCGTAGTGTTGCGTAATGTAGTGTAGCTGTAGTTGTACTTGTAGCTGCAGCTGCAGTTGTAGTTGTAGCCTAGTGTAGTGTAGTGTAATGTGATTAGTGTAGTGTAATGTAATGTAGTTGTAGCTGTAGTGGTAGTGTAGTTGTAGTTGCAATTGCAGTTGTAGTTGTCTATCTATCTATCTATCCATCCATCCATCCATCCATCCATCTAAAGGCTATCTATCTATTTATCTGCCAGTTTGAAAACGAAGCTATTCTGCGAGACTTCCTCGATTTTTGAACTTGACAACATCAGAAGCGCAGCAATCCTTCGAGACTTCCTCAACTTTTGATCGTCACGACGTCAAAGACGAAAAAAACTTGCGAGACTTTATCAATTTTCGAAGTTGACAACACATCAAAAACAAAGCAATTCTGCGAGAATTCCTTCAAACATGGAAAGTTGAGTGCAGAGCTGACGGCCTCATACCAATGCGTTTTGCGATTTTTCCGCTCCATCTGTGTAAAGTACTGCGCCTGCCACGAAAGGGTGATGCCAGGTCATACGAAGTGCTGCACACCTGTTACGCAAGATCATCTTAGCAAACCTGAAGATCTGATGCTCCAAAATGCAACCCCTTTCAGGAAATCAGCGCCCTAACCTCCTAACATCTCTGATGAGCATGTCTCTTGTACTGCGCCTGCCACGCGAAATGCATCTTTGAAGATCCTCTTGAACTGTCCCACGCCTTCCATCGTTTTTGGACATGCTAGAAAACCCTTACGTTTTGCTGCAAAACCACATCTGAACCTTCAAAAGTGGTCCGAGCATGTGGTGTTTTGTGCATTTTGACTTGGACATGTGCTTCGCGCCACAACGGCGTGCACTTTTGCGACATCGCAACTTCCAAAAGTGCTCTGAACCTGGTGTGTTTTGTACATTTTGACTTCGAAATGTGCTTTGTGCCACAACAGCGTGCACTTTTTCGACATCTCAACTTCCAAAAGTGGTCCGCACCTGGTGTGTTTTGTACATTTTGACTTGCAAATGTGCTTCGCGCCGCATCGGCGTGCAATTTTTAATCTCTCATCTGGCCAGCTGGCTCCGCACCCGCCGCTTTAGCGAGCCTACTTTTCGACCCTCCGGAGCCTGAAATCATTGGAAAAACCACAGTGAATCGCGACTGTTCTACCTTTTTGCGCACCTGCATCTTCTTTCCTCTGACTCTTTCTCTTCTCTGATCTTCTTTCTTCTTCTCTTCTCTTCTCTTCTCTCACTCTTCCCTCTGCTTTTCCATCTGTCCCTGCCATATTGTCGGAAGTTCGACTTCTAAACGTCATTCGAAAATGTATAAACATCTGAACAGTGTTCCAAACCCTCTGTCGTTGCTTTGCACTGGTTGGTGAACAGGGATTTCTCATCATGGTTGGCGATGATCCTCGATATAGTAGATTAATGATTATCATCCAACCTTGTATCAATGACATTCCCATATGTTTCATACTTGAAACCCCATGAATCCCCTTGAAAATCACGGTGAAATTCACAAACTTCTCATCAACCCACAGCCCCAAATCCACCAAACCCCAAGCGGCCTGGCATTGTATTTCACCGGGTTCCCGGTGGTCGGCCGCACCAGTACAGACACGGCGCGGTGCACCACGTGGGCATTGGTCACCACCCACCTGGAAACTTCTCTGGTTGGTGGTTGAGCCCTACCCCTCTGAAAAATATGACTTCGTCAGTTGGGATGATGACATTCCCAATATATGGAAAGTCATAAAAAATGTTCCAAACCACCAACCAGTTCTAGTTGATCCAACTGATCCAACTGATGCCAGGTTGGACTCCAATCATTGGCAATGTTGATCAATTTTGCAGGCTAGTTCTGGCCAAAAATCATGGGGCTGAAGGTGGCTGTGTTGATATTGGATCTATTGGTAAAGCTGGAAACTCACGCCTCAAACATCATTTCAGTTGATGACCTTCCACAAAAGACGGGCCCGCTTTGAATGGTTGGTCGATAAGGATTCCCATCATGAGTTGTAGCGTGCAAGAACATACCCTCTGGTAATGACTAACATAGCTATTGAAAATGGCCCATTTATAGTGGATTTACCCATTGAAAATGGTGATTTTCCATAGTTATGTTAGTTTACCAGAGGGTAATCCCCATGAAAAACCGGGCAGTATGATGGCAAAACGTCCCTTTTTTCCCGCAAAAAGACGGGATATCCAACTGAGTATGGAGCATTCCCCCATCTACATAGAACGACTGTACATATCCCATAAATCCCAATAAGAAATCACCCAAATATACATAATATATATATATGTACAAATATTATATAAGTATATATATTATGTATTCTGTATATATTAATATGATATGTATTTATATATATACATATATTATTGTATATAGTTATTATATACACATATAAAGAAATTAAATATGTTTACCATAAATCCCCATCCACCGCCACACCTTCCCTCGAGCAAAAAGCCCGTACCGGTCGACGACTGCTGACCTAAGATGGCTGCGCTTTGAACATGGCTAGGATGGCCTCAAATTATGGCCTTTTGATTCAATATATCTATGACTATATATGAATTATAATTTCCCGCAGAACCAAACGTTCGCCCATGATGACATCATATATCTCAATTTTCCCGCGGTTTTACCACCTGTTTCATCCGCGGTTCTAACCACCTTGCAGGGATGGACGGTACACTGGATGTGGCCCCTCGCCACGCGTACGACACAAAATTCGTTCATAGCTCGTTTCACAATAATTTGCAGCAACAACCTTTCGCAGACTTTGTGTGGGTCCGTGGAAAAGAAGGGCCGTTTCGTGCGAGAAAACACAGGCTCCGGGCAAACGTCCGGATCTGTGCATATAACTTAATATCATATCTATCATTAATTTAATGGGATTTTATTGATGTTTAATGATATTTAATGGGGATGATGGTATGTATCACTGAAATCCCATTACGTATCATTAAACATCAATAAAATCCCATTAAATGGGGATGATCAAGAAATTCATCTGAAGACACCAACTCCTGGTGGAAACATATCAATCCAGGAGTGGTCCCAGTGTTTATTGCTACTCCGCTCTCGTCCCAACACGCAGATTGATAGTTGGTGTTGTTTGTATAACATCCATATCAACAATAGAGTATGACATCCTATGTTCATATCCAAACAAATCCAAACAATAGTTATTTGAATATGTGTTTTCATAAGATGACAACTAATATCAATCCAGGGTCAATCAAACATGAATCAACCCAAGGAACTAAAATTTTCACACATCAGCCATTTCAACCAGCGACTCCAGCTGTGCCATCCTGGTCCTGGTCAGTTTTCATGGCAGAATGAGTACACAATCCCCATTTTTGTTGAGTAACATATGGAGTAACCAACATGTTGCCATGGTTTTAACCAATAAAGCCTGGGCAAATTGATTTAGTTATCTTTAGTTCACCCTGAAAATGTTGCCATGGTTTCCGTGATCCTATGAAATTGGCGTTGTAAGGTCGGCCAGGGCTTTGGTCACCAGCCATTGCACCATCACCCAGCGACATATTGGTTGATGTCCTCACGTGTTGTTGGAAAAATTACCATGAAGTTGGTAAATGGTAATAACAGCGACTAAGAGTCATATATGACATTGATATAATTATATATATTGATGATATTCCCCAATTGTCCCCGATAAATGCCAGTAAATCCCGGAATCCAAATGAATCTGAACTGGACGCAGTTCACCATTGGGCATCCCCGCTGTGCTTTCGCCAGGGGTCCGCGAAATTGCAAGGAGCCTGGCCATCGCAGCGCCATCGCCATCTCAAAAAGGGAGGAATTGGAAGAGTTTCCCCCCAATAATCCAATATCCCTAATGAAAGTATGTTATATGTTAGATGTTAGATGAAATGACTATTGGAGGAGTACCCCCCCAATAATCCAATATCCCTAATGAAAATAAACCATGGTTTAACAAAAATCCGGGGTTGACATTATGAATGTCATTGCGAAGTGCTCGCATCGGCATACTTGGTGGCCTCAACTTTCAGGCTCCAGTCGGCTCAGTACGATTCCGGGGGTTTTAGAGACTTTTGGAATGGACCTATTCTGCCTATTCTTGCTTTTGCCAGATAATTAAACAGAGTTGTCCAAGAAAATAGAGAACAGTACCTTAAAACCTAATGATCTGATGGTTTATCATCATCCCAATCAATAGATAGCCATGCGATATAGTCAGGCAAAATCCACCATTAAAATTTCAGAACTCCACGGCATAAAACATATCCATATCATGGTCCGTGTTACACCCGCATAACTTTGTCGGCAACCCATTCTCATATCCCAGATTCATTGTATGCCAAACCATATTTTTTTAAGTTACATTTAGCAGCATGAAATTGGACCAACCCACTATCTTCCGTAAATATTAACCAGTTTACATATCCCATTGTGTCCCCATTCCATTCTATCCCCATTGCGATGGATAAAAAAAGATCGTCATTTTTCAGGGGGATTAATCCCCATTAATCCCTATGATATCCCCATGATCATGAAATCTCCACATTCTTAGTGGTTTAGGGTTTAGGGGACAATAGAAATATCGTGGTATACCCCATTTCTATTAAATCCCCATTAATCTCCATGATACCTCCGTTCTTAGTTGGTTATAATAGAATTTCACCCTGCTTCACCCGGACCTTGCTCTGCATTTTTCTGCGCCTTGCGCACGAAGAGCTTGCAAACCGAGCCAGTCCCTGCGGACACCCCGCGGGTGTCCACATTATGCTTGGCACCTGCGATTTCGACATTTCGACCGTGGCATCGGGAATAGCTCCAGTGGGGTATAACATGGTATAACTCCAGTCATGAGTGGACCAACCCTACTTACCCTAGTTACCCTACTTATGACTGGAGTTCTAACCGCCTTCGATTGCTGGGATGACCATATCATGGTTTTTTTCGTTGGGAGTTCACCAACAGCCATGTTTGATATTCAGGGTTTACCAACCAGATCCAACCAGCCATCATTGAGGGGGTCACTTTCTTGGGGGGTAGTTATCCTATTGGAAATAAACAAATAAACATATATATATATATATACATATATATATATATACATATATATATACATATATATAGATTTCCAACATCTAACATCCACCATTTATAGATCACTTCCTCAGGAAACCATGACGATAAAACCCCGGGGTTATTCATGGGTCCAGTTCTGACTGGGGCTGCCATCCACTAACTGGGGTGAACAACCAAGTAGGGTTATGGTCATATTTTGCACTCTAGCAATCTTACATAGCCATGGAAAATGGCCATGATTAATTAGCAGGTGAATCATCGACAAATGGGTTAGTTTCCATGGCTATGTTCAATACCAAAGGGTCTGTAATTCATACAAAACAGTACATTTGTGGTGTAGCAAAAATATGCGGAAATTACGAGTGTCTATCTATATAGCCAGTATTGCATTTTTTGGGCGGTAAAAAACAACAACGGCAGGGTTGTGCTAACAACTTATCATAAATAGGAAGCATGATAATTAATAATATGATACCAAGTGAATTCAAATGAGGTATTAACACACACAAGGAGCAAACACATAGAATTTATATCTATGTTTCCTGTTTGGGTATAAAGCCAACTAGATATGGCGATATGTTTGAACTGTGGTATATAATTATGGCATATGGTATATATTTCAACACCAAAAGTATATGATATTGTTCTTTCCGCCGAAAAGAGAGGTTTCACCTATATATTTTCAGACAAACCCATCTGGGCATCTCAGCTGAATGCTGATATAAGTTGGGTGTATTCCATACATCGGGTGAATCATGGATGAATTACAAGTCAATGTGTCAATGAGAAACAAACAATTGTTTTTTTTTGCTGCCCTACCCTGCTACGACGACATGTCAAAAGCGGAAGCAAGGCGTAGGCATAGCCAAACGTGCCTGCTTTGTTAAAAGTATCTAGCATTGGCTGCATTGAATATACGTGCATCCTCTTGAACGGTCTCTTCATAGTTAAACTGATGCAGTTTTTCTTCGTATATATATTTTTTGGTGTAATGCAACCAGTTTTGCCTTGGTCTACCGTGCCTCTTTTTTCCATATGGGACGCGGTTCACTGAATTTGGTTGAAAGGAGATTTGACGTAAAGGGTCTTGTTGAGTGGTTCTGGCAATATGTCCCAATAATTTGGCTCGCCTGTCATTATAACAATGGCTGAATAAAAGGTTGTTTTCATGATCTCCATGAGTGGACATGAGATCGGATGCTCTTCGCAAAACATATCTGTTTGTGAACCGCCCGTCAACAAAAGTAGACGGGAGGTTGAGGATTTTCCTCAAGCCTCGGATCTGGAATGCGTCGATTTTGTTCAACATGGCTTTTGTAAGATGAACCGTTTCCAAACCATATAACAACTTGGCTCGGATCACTGCATCAAAAATTCTAAGTTTCCATTTTACGTTTGCATCCGACGCTTTCCAATAAGGCAGAAGTTTGAGCCATGTTATTCTGACAGTTTGGAGTTTGTTCAAAATTTCATGTTTCACATTGATTTCCCTGTTAAGTTCATTTCCCAAATATGTTGCTTCATAATTTTTGGGGAGTGGCGTGGCATCGTCAAAGTGAATATTTCCGTCATTAAGGGATGTCGATGCATTTACAGTATGTCTGTTCAACCTTAATCCGTATTGGCCTGAAAATGTTTCTGTTAATCTCAACAGCTCGTTTAATGCCCTGTTATCGGTGGAGAAGAGGATGGTGTCGTCAGCATAAAACACACTGTCGTAACTTAACCCAGGAACCCTGTTGTTTAATACTCTTCTGCTCACCGTGCTTTGTATGTCAAAGTCTATGCATGACATTACTATGACAAAAAGATAAGGGGACAGTGGACAACCCTGCCGGATTCCGGAGCCCTACTTCTTGATAGTGGAGGATCCGAAATTATCTTCTACAAAAAAAGTTGGGTTACGATAACAATTTTCTATTACCTTTCGATAATGTTCGCTAAATCCCATTCGACACAAGGCCTGGTAAAGTTTATCGTGCTGTATTTTGTCGAAGGCCTTTTCCCAGTCTAGTAGGGCTAAACTTAACTGGGTCCCCTTTACTTCTGCGTAGTCTTGCAATCTACGAATTATGTAAATAGCGTGAGATGTAGACCTTTTAGGACGAAAACCATATTGAGTGGCTGACAATTTATCTTCTATAGCATGTTGCATCCGTTGTCGAATCATTATCATGTAAATTTTATATACCGAACTAAGTAAAGAGATGGGTCTGTAGTTTGCCGCGTTGTCTGCTTCGCCTTTTTTGAAGATGGGTACCACCCTCGCTTGAAAAAGTTCTACATCAGCCGACTTTGTTACCCACCAAGTGTTGATCAAACTTAGAAGCCTTCTTCGGTTATCATCATTAAGCCATTTGAGTAGTTCCATTTGGATGTTGTCTGGACCAGGTTGTTTATTGTTTTTAGAAACTTTGAGGGCCCAGTTTAGCTCTTCTATTCGAAAAAACGACTCATCGGCATTGTTTTGTCGAACAATGTATTCGTCGGATGGGGTTCCCATATTGCGATCATTATTCCAATGTGTGTTTTCAAGATATTGTGCTATTGTTTCAGCCCTTTGGTTAAGGGGAACATGGACCCCCCTTTCGTTTTTCATTTGTACGTACTGTGGGGTAAACTTGGTCCGTAGGCCTTTAACTGCTTTCCAAAGATTCTTTTTGTTTCTATCTTGGGGGTTGTCATTGAACTGTTCAATCAAATGGTTTTGTTTGTCCTTTTTTGGCCATCTGATTGATTTCTCTATTCATTCTCCTCACTTCCATTGTAGTTGCTCCTGCGTGTTTGCATCGGTTCCTTTCTTCGATTTTGCCCCAGGTACTTCTAGAGATATATGGTTTGCGTTTTTCATGTGGTATGGTTTCTAAGTGTCTTTTTGCTGAGTCAAGGACCGCTTTTTGAAAGCAATTTAAGGTGCATGGGCTTTGCCCCATTAAACCCGCGACATGTTCGTTATATTTTTCCCATTGTTGCGGGTTCGGTTTGTGAAATTTAGGTACACTGTTCTTCTTTTTCGTATTTGCTTGCGTTAAAATTTCAGCTTTGCATTCAAGCACCAGGTGATCTGATTCAAAGACAATGTCCTGTCGACTCTGTACATCTGTACAAGCGTGCTTGTATGCATCGGCAACCAGCCAGTAATCAATTTGTGCGAACCTAACAGCATCGTAAGGGGGCCCAAATTCAACACCTGTATGTTTTTCTATATAAGTGATCAACTTACTGGGTGGTTTTGAAAACTGGCTGTTCATTATCCTCAGTGACTGCATCTGGCAGAATCCGAGGAATAACGCTCTGCTTTCTTTAGTTCGTTCATTCATGGTGTTTAAGTATTCTAAACCTCTGCCTAGAATATAGGGTCCACAAACATCTTTTTCACATTCACGAACATGGTGAATTCGAGCATTAAAATCACCCCCTATAAACTGTCTTCCTTTAAACTGTTGCACATGTTCAGCTAATTTATCATAAAAGTATTCCTTGTCTTCCGTGGGATAAGCTCTATGGGGCGCGTAAGCGCATACAAGTCTTACATCTCCACCGTGTGCTGTAAAAGTCGCCGTCATGATTCGGCCATTTATGTGCTCTACTTCTTGTAAGGCGTTAATACACGTGTTTCGAACGACAATGCCAACTCCCGCATTCTCAAAGTCCGCTGCCAACCGGTAGTTGGGCAGCCGTTGTTCATTTTCCGGATAGCTAGATCGGTAATTTTTATCTTCTCGCTTCTTCTCTTCTCGCTCTTTCACCTTTGGATCAATGGATGTGCTGAAGAATGCAGTACATGAATCCCAGTACTCAACACAGTTTGAGTTTACATTTGTCTCCGTAAGTAAGCAAATATCAAAATTATTTCGTTTCATGATATTATCTATCATTTCCCGTTTTGTAAGTTTAGTCAGCCCCCGAACGTTCAATGTAGCCATATGCAATTTGTGATTCGACTTGAAAGCAAAATTTTTGGATTCTTTTGGGTCCAATGGATGGTTGGGGCTTGTCCTTTTACAAATAGTGGCATAGAACGTTCGGAAGTGGTTTCTTATTTTCTCCCGATTACTGCGGAGCCAAAGGATGCACTTCTTCTTGATTTTTCTGTTAAAAGTTTTGCTTAGGAGTTTCTTCTTTTGGAGCGTGCTTTGACGCAGGAAACGCTTGGCTATCTTTGTGGCTCTTTCCCGAAGCTGAGTTCGTTTGAAAAATCTCCATGCTCTACGTTTTAAAGCCCTCTTCCTATGTATCCTAACGGAATTTCTCCGATGATAAAAGAATTCCTTTTGGATTGCCTCATTGTGTTTTCGGCTTCGGGTCAAGTTGGTCAACCCAATGGGCCGGGTCCCGGGGTGCCTTCTAGAAGGCCTGTGTGCCCTAGTCTTTGCCAGATGGCCTGAATTAGCGTCTTTCTTTCGTGCAGGGTGTGCTGAGGCCCGGGGGTCTCTACACAATTGTTGCCTAAATTGTTGCCTGTTCTTCTGTTTATGCGTTTGTTTTGTGTGTAGTCACTCTTCCATCTTCTGAAGCTCATGATCTTCATCAAGGCGTGCGGCTGCGAAGGTCACTGCGTAGGGGTAGCGGTAATAGTTTGCAAATCTTGGGTGGTCCTTTTGGGCCTCCTTCCAGCTATCATGCCAGTTGTCTTTGATAATCCCGATGAGGTCTTTCTGCGTGATTATTGTCACTGTTCCTCTGTCTCTGTCGTATATTGCCTTTGCGATCACCTTCTTGTCCTTGAGGTTGAAAATGTGTTTGTCCGTGGGGCGATGTGAGAGGAAATCAGCACCCGTGAAGGGTGACTCTGTGTGTGAGGTCAGGATGTGTAGCGCCGTGGTCAATGCTAAGTTGATTGTGAGGTCGGTCTTACTGATGTAGTTTGTTACTACTAGTCGATGCCATCCTCCTCTCCAATGTTGTACATAGTTGCCCGATGAGTCCCAATAATACAAAGGCCACCTTCCGGAGAATGTTGTGTACGAGTACTTCTCGAAGCATTGTTGGTCATCTTGATTGGCAAAGGTCAGGATGGACACCGGGGAAAGCACGTATTTTTTGCCTGAGGTATAGTAACCATGCTCCTGTGTGACTTGGTTCTTTATAGCGGACTTTTCTATCAACCAATCGGTCACTCGCAATCTGTCGTAGTATGTTGTCTCCTTGGGCCATGCTTTGATGATCATCTTGAGGCTGCTTTCCCGCGCTTCCTTGTCTAGGACAATCTCATGGGTATAGTCTACCATCACTCGCAAATCTTCAATCTCATCTTCGTGTCTTTGTGTGATTTGCGTAAGTTTTTCGATTTGGGTGTGTAGACCTTCATACCGTTCTTGGAATTGAGCTTCACGTGCACTGCTGGATGATTTCGCTTTGGCTAATTCTTCTTTCATTTGTAGGTTGAGCTCTTGCATCTTCTGGAAAAGGTCTCGCATCTCTGAGTCCACGGCTCTCTTGGATTCTTGTGCTGGCTTGTCCTCTCTGATTTCTTTTGTGGGTTTCTGTGGCGTGGCTGCTATTTCATATAGTGCTTTTGCGGATGTCTGCATTTTTGTACTCCATATTCGTCTTGGGTGCACTGTCTTTGTCGTGCCCTTTGCTTCTTCCGACGCGGCCTTCTCTTCCTTCTCGTCTCCTTCCTTGTCTTTTTTTTGGGGAGTGTGCGGAGTCATCTGGGTATCTTCTATGGTCTCTTCATCTTCTCCTGTTTTCCTTCTTTTCACATGCGACATAGGAGGGAACTTAAACTAAAGGGCGATTTTGAGCCAAAACCCCTAAACAAACAATTGTAGGTTGTGAAAATATGTTATTAATATGCTATTAATATGTTATTAATATGTTATTAATATGTTATTAATATGTTATTAATATGTTATTAATATGTTATTAATATGTTATTAATATGTTATTAATATGTTATTAATATGTCATAATTCCTATGGAAATGCTAGCCATTATTGGAATGATTCCCCCAAATCCTAGCCATCATTTTTATGATGGTGAGGTCTTTGGTTTCCCTCAAAAACCCTTCAACGCTCCATCTATGAGGTGCTGCTAATGATGCCCATACTGAAAATGATTGCCTGTATCTCTACGATTTTCCGTGGAAATTTGGTTTGTGCCAATCTCTTTATCTCGATTCTGGATACATAGTTGATAATCAATTATGTTCCCTTTTTTTTAATGGTTGGTCAGCTATCTACATGTTTGTTTCATCTGAACCCTCCAATTTTCGTGGCCAAAAAAAACGCTCCGTTTGGTCCTAAATCCTAATGTTTGCTGGTCCTATCCCAATTTTCCTGATGAAACCTCCACATGTTGTGGTTGAATCCAGTTCTTTGCTGGTGACACCCATAAAAAAAACACGGTTTTGGCAGTGTGGTACTACCAACAATCCACAGTTTCGCTGGCAAAAACTTGGACTTGCTTACCAGCCCGAAAAAAAACATCGTAGATTCCTCGGTGGTGCAACCAATCAGAACATCAAACATCACCTTAAGTCTTAACAACTCTAATGAAATTCCCAGTAGATTCCATGTAGATTCACCCATTTTTTGCTGAAATCCGGTATTTTTTCCGTTGAACAATCCCTCCATTTCTTCGGGCACCTCCGCTGCGGTGGCGCTTGCGCTGTCGCCCGCAGGCCGGAGCGCAGGTGACCGAAGCGCCGGTCGCGGCTGAGCCGGTCACCTCGCCATTGGAGCGAGGACCTGGCGGTCTCTGAATGCCGGATGGATCATGGAAGAATGGACCAATGGATATATTTAATGATCTATGATGATATGATGGATTATAATGGATTATAATCATGGATTACTATAGGATTTATTAGGGATTTGATTATGAATAGCTATCAATTTGATTATAATGGATAATGGATGATATTGGATGATAATGGATCAATAACAATTATCTGAGCATGGTAATGGATCATAAAAGGGCTTGTCTGAAACTGGGGGATACCCTCAAATGGTCACTAAATAGTCCGGCAAATCCTGATAAACGTCATCAAATTTGAGGGCGTCCTATTTTCAAAGAAACCCATGATGGATTATAAATTCTACTAAGAATGGATTGTCCATTGTATATGGATACTGATGCTCCATAATAGATTTTTATAGGAATTGTAGCTATAATGGAAAATCATCGAGAATGGGATTATTCTACAATTCCCGACTTCTGGGGACTCGTATCTTTATAATGGATTATGTGAAGCGTAATAATCGATTTACTATGGAATTGAAACTTAACTATAATAAATTCTAGTATGGATTGCGGAATTGTATCGAGATACTGTATTCTATGGAATGTATGGAATATACGTATAAATAATATGGATTCAAATGTTTTTTAAATCTAGATACTGGAAATTTTGGATGAAATCAAATACATTTCATTAAATTTAATGTTGGAAATATCAAATGTAATATGGGTTATAATCATGGATAACGTGGCCAACTATAGGTATTATATTTCTGGATTAATTATGGCTTATCTCGATTACAATGTTGTTGGAAATGTTAGATTATCTACAAATGTTGGATGAGTTTAGTTAACTATGGGGACTCACCTTGTATAACATTAGTGATAATTATAGATAGGAAGTATGATAATATCATCCGTAATAATCCAGCCTATGGACAAACACAAGTTTTCTATCCATATGGATTCAGATGCACAAAAAATAATTGACAAGTGTGGATCATTTAGCATAATATCTGGGTAATTCATAATAATTCACCAACCTGAAATAAGACCATAAAAGAGGCTAATTCCCCAAATCCTAACCATTATTCTAGGGTTCGGGAGAACAGTGAGGTCGTTATAATTTACCAGATATATGTGTTTTTCACATAAACACTTTTTTCTGATTGTTATATCAATAAAACTACCATCAACTATAGTTATACCTATAAAGCCATCTAACTATTGCTGCTTTATAAACAACTCATAAACCCATCAAGGCCTATAGTTAATGTTGACCTACGATTTGTAAACTACCCCTGAATAAAGCTAACCAAACCCCCAAACTAAATAGTAAACTACCCCTAAATAAAGCTAATTGTTTTTGGCCCTTAACCCAGATTTGCCCAGATGGGGCTGAAAAAAAGTTTTATTTGAGGTGGCTTTCATGTACTGATTCATATTGCCAGCTCATCATATCTTACCTTGATAACTTCAAATTTTCAAAAATAATGGTTGCTCTTTCTATTCAAAACCTTTATTCAAAATTATCCAAAATCAATCCCAAATCAACTCGTCAAGGGTACCCCCCATGAGGTGCCTTAGCACTAATTAGAGTTTGACCCTGAATAAAGCTAAATGTTTTTGGCCCTAAACCCAGATTTGTCCAGATGAGGCTGAAAAAATTGTCCATGCTTTACTTGAGGTGGCTTTCATCTACTGATTCATATTGCCAGCTCATCAGATCTTACCTTGATAACTTCAAATTTTCAAAAATAATGGTTGCCCTTTTCTATTCAAAACCTTTATTCAAAATTATCCAAAATCAATCCCAAATCAACTCATCAAGGGTACCCCCCATGAGGTGCCTTAGCACTAATTAGAGTTTGACCCTGAATAAAGCTAATTTTTTTTGGCCCTAAACCCAGATTTGCCCAGATCCATGACATGAATACTAAATCAATACTAAATCCATGACATGAATACGAGATCAATACTAAATCCATGACATGAATACTAAATCAATACTAAATCCATGACATGAATACTAAATCAATACTAAATCCATGAGATGAGTACTAGATCAATACTAAATCCATGACATGAATACTAAATCAATACTAAATCCATGACATGAATACTAAATCAATACTAAGTCCATGAGATGAATACTAAACCAATACTAAAACAATTGTTGGATTCCTGTTTTTTTTGGAAATTGCAGTTTATGTATTCGTTTTTAAATTGTGGTAATTGAAAACCTTTACATACAAACAAGTTTTTAACTTTATTTGAGGTAATCAAGGGGGGGGGCCCCCAGGTTTATAAATCAGAGGCAGACATTATATCTACAACAAACCCTAGTCAGTTGAGTTGCACCAACTTGCACTTTGGGGACCTTGGATTCAACTTGGATTCATTTTTTTGGGATAGGGAGTCCATAATAATAATCCATGATAACTTGGATAATCCAAGTTAAATCCACGTGGAAAAACGCTACCGTGTGGATAAACATTTTTTCAGTTTTCCATATGTTGGATTATTGTAGATGGATGCCATGTGTTGAAAAAGTATCGGGAGCTATCGGGGATGGTCTATCGATGATGTGGATAGTGAGTTTTCCGATTTGGGGAGGGATGATCTTCATGGGTGATATCTTCTCATTCATGAACAATATTTCGTATTCTTTAAACAAGTCAAGTATTAGTTTCAGACTTTGTCCAAAGTCTGGATTTTTTTCCATCATCAGGATGGTACCTGGATAAACGATGTAGAAATTCCAAGGGACACCATGAGGATGTAATGGAGTTATTGTATAGAAACATCGGGGATAATAGTTCTAATAACATTGGAAACACTATATTATTATCCCCAATTGTAATGTATTATCCCCAATTTTAAACTATGTAATGGAGTTCTAATTGTATAAGAAACCGGGGGATCCTGGATGTTTTTTTGTCGAAATCCATCATTCCAGGGACAAAAAATGTGGTTTACGCCGTTTTCAATTGTCCAAATTTGATATGTGTTGATGCATTGCATATCTAAAATGGATCATATATATATATAATATCATTTGGACATGGCATATTTACCACGGATGATATAGGATTATCATCTATAATCGCAGATATGTTTTCATATTTGAAGTAGTTTAAAAGTGGTGGGGATTAATTATTCATCATGGATTATCTTATGATCTATGATATACATTTGTATAATATATATATATATACTATTATATACTGGGTTATCTACATATTGGATTATAATGGCAGGGACAATCCATCAACAATTTGATGTTTTTTTTGTTGGATATTCCTCGGTGGATTACTGATCCAACCACCATGGATCAGATCGGGGTCTTGACCGGGACTTGCATGTGACGGGGGCTTCCAAAGTCATGGTAGCGTAGCCATGACTAACATCCAAGTCATGGATGACCATGAATTAGTATTGAAACAACCATGCTGACTTGGGGATCCAAAGCATTTTTCGAAACCTCGATGTGGGAACATAGGAAAAATCACAACTAATGGACGTTTGGTAGATGATTACTAGACTTTTTCTGTATTTTTATGGATATGTCATGCAGGATAGCATGGAACAATAAGTAACACTATGATAGTCCTGTTGAAACCCGGTTCATTGGTGAAATCATCATTGAACGATGTTGGACCAAGCTCCGATGCGCCTTCTGAAGCTGAGTCACTGTCAGCCATGGCAGGCGTTTTTGACCACTTCGTCACTTGCGAATCAACATAGGGCTGATATGGGCTGGTGGTTTCAATGCCGGAAAAAAAGAAACATAAGTAATACTGTATACGTATATGCTCTTCTTCAATGGGTGGTATCCGAAATAGGACTTTTATAAACAACTATCATCTTTTATATAATATCACATTATATTATATTAGTTATTACATGATATAATAAAATAATAGTGTATATATGTATATGTAATGTATATGTAAATTTCAAACATGTCCAAAGCACATGGATCCAAATGGCTTTAGGTGTAAGACTTGGACAGCACAGATAGCGTTTCGCCATGGCGACTCCGACGAGAAGATTTATATCTGATCAAATGAGATCCGATAAATATCCGTTCGCCAAAATATATCAAAATATCATAAACATATCATAAAATATCCAATATTTTTTGAGATTCTCAGATGTATCATGATGTATCATTGGGATTCATTGGGTATCTGAATAGTAAATTGAGGGGTTCCCTTCAATATTCAGACCGGCGTCTTTCACAGATCCCTTCAATCGGTCCTTTGAACATCTTCAAAACTTTCTGAGATAGCCTCTGGATATATAACAGTTTGCTATGGATGCCATGGCCTGTTTGTGGATCATTTGCCGTTTTTTTAACATGACGGTAAACTGTTGTATTACCGGAAGGTAAATTAGAGTAATTATATATCCAACTATTATGTCCCAATTATACCACCATTCTTCATAGTCAAATCCCTATTTTTGTTTTTACATTACCAGAGGGTAAATACATCCCATTACTGTAAATCCCCACTGAATCCCCATTTGTTGATGCTTATAAAACCAGATGAACTATAATCCCCATTCTACAGATGTTGATTAATCTTTAGACAAACTGACATTGCTCTTCCCCGCTTCACCCCAAACAAGTTGACCCAAAATTCGTTCGGAGAACGTGACTGCGTGAATGCCGAATTTCGCGACTGGGGAATCAACCACTTGGAGTGTTGCCATTTCAAGAAACACCCTGAACTTGTTCAACGTTCTCGTGAATGTTCTGAGTTCTGAAATGTTCTGACTTTTTTGCTGTTCAAATTGACCTTTAATAATGTCACCCAGTGGTCTGAATTGCCTGTTGCCTGCATTGCAAATGCATCGAACGTTCAAAATAAAAAACAAGTGATGGTGATTTCGCCCGCAATCAGTTTGGGTTCACAATGTCCGTGGGTTTTTGGCCCGCTGGATGGGTGAAAGTTATGAGATTTTGGTCCCGCAGTCCCACATGAGAACGATATGAGAGGGTCACCATGGTGGTCCATGAATTCGGAAGCTTCAGCGTTTTTTGATTCAATCTCTATCATTTTGAAGGGACAATACTCAATTCCCCTTCTAGATTCATCTATATTCTAGTTTGTTGATTCAGCTCGGTAGTCCCCATTCTTGCTGCTTGAATGGTTGAATAATCTACCGATCCTCGATTTCCCCTATGCGTTCACCATGGTCCAATCAGCCCTAGTCCCTCGCAGAAAAACGGTTGTATAAATGTATGGAATGTATTCAGGTATTGGGTCCCAATGTTAGGGGAATTTTATTGATAAAGGTGGCTCCGCTCCCAATTTACCGGTCATTGGGGACTTGGAGATAATCAAACAATTTTCGTGGAATGTAGATAACTGTCCATTTTGTTGGCCATCTATGTAATCTATGTAGATATTTGTTGCAAACTTCAAAACATAGATATTTCATATTCGGAGGTTTACCACCATTTGGAAAATCCAAACATATAAAATAATCAGATAGATTTATATTATCGTTACCAATCATATAGAACTGAGTCAAAAATGGATACCATCCCCCAAATTAACATAGACCGAGCATTCGTCAGGGGTTGGAAGATTAGTTTACACTAAATATATTGGCTATTTTCAGGGTCAAACTGTTGATGAACTAGAGGGTAACCTAAACATCCCCGAACCTAGACCCTGAACCTAGACCCTGAACCTTTACTAAAGGGTAATAATGGGTAACAATTGATCTGGTTGGTGGTACACCTACCCCTCTGAAAAGTAAGAGTTCGTCAGTTGGGATGATGAAATTCCCAGGATATGGAAAGTCATAAAAGCCATGTTCCAAATCCCAACCAGCCAGTCATTTTTAAAAATTAGCTATATATGATCAATAATAGTAAACCAACATTATTAACCACTATTAACCACTATTAACCAATCAGGTAACGATTGATGTTTCGATGTTTTTTCCGGTGACTCAGTTCAACATGGATACTAATCACTGAGACCAGGGCGGACCGGCGAATGATCCGGGGTCACCACCCTGCCGCGGCGCGCCGAATAATGCTGAGAAATGACCAGAAGATCATGATATTCTAGGGGAATGTTTTTTTTTGCTATTTAATCATGGTAGATAATCCACTCATACAATCTGATATACCTAAAATTACTGGAGTGTTCCTGAAAATGGTTGGATCCTCACGTCACCGTTGTTTCAATAGTCATGATCATCCATGACGACTGGATGACTTGGGAAACTAACCCCATGCCCTCGGAAAGCTCTGTCGGTAATCAAACACGGCTCGGAAGTCCCAGAACTAAATGGAGGCTGACAGCTAGGAAATCATAGAACGATTGCCTGACTTTTCCAGCCATGTTTGATACCGGAGGGTATATCATGTATAAATGTGTAAAAAAAACAGATGGAAATACAAAAAGGATAGCAATTCATGAAAGAAAATCAGGTCATATCAGGTCCACATTCAAGCAATTCGAGATATCCACTCTCGACATTTTACCCATGACAATGAGACCAAAAGCCAGCAAACCCGTTAGGATAAAACTCTGCAACGTTCTTTGTCATCCATTCTCATGAGGAGTCTAATATGGCGGTCTGGGGGGAACAACATCATAATCAAATTAGATTATATATAACTACTAAAATATGAGATCATTAAATAGAGTGCAGCGGGAAGCCGTGACTTCTGATGAAATATGATATAACATACTTAACATATATCACTATAAGATTCTCATCTTATAAGATTGTCTTTATATGTCTTTATAATTGTTATACGATTCTCCTTACCAGAACAAACCAGCAAGCCTCTGGTCCCATGGATCAAAATCCTGGTCAGTAACTCAGTAAACCAACATATCCATGAAAACCATGGGCTGTTGACTTAGATAATTTACCGTGGTCTACCATGATTTACCGTTTTTTTAACAGAATCATGTTCCATAGGGAGCTCTTCATAAACTACCAGACATTGAAAGTAAACACTTTTTTTCTTGGTTGGTTCATTCCTCTTGTGACATCGGTGACATCCTCAACTTCTGGGGTATAAGACCAGATCGGCCAAGATTCCGATACAAGAACCTGGTGCCCACTGGTGGCCCCCAGCTCCTGGCTTTATCTCCCATAAAAAGAATAAACAACTGCAATGATTCAATGCTATCAATCTCAAATGGTCCCTGAAAATACCCGAAAATCATCAACCCCCTCGCCCCCGTTCTGGGGCAGGGAAGTTTTCGCCTACCCCTAGGAGAACGCCCGATTCCCACCAGCTCCAGGGGTCCCCGCGGTCTTGGGGTGCCGGCCTGGTCAATGTGGAAAATCATCAGAGTAACAGTCCATGGACAATGACGCAACATGACTCACCCCAAAAAATCTATTTTCAAATGTGTCCTTGTCATCCATAATCCCTTAATATTCACCTGGTTGGTGGTTTTAACCATCTTGAAAAATATGAAAGTCAATGGGAAGGATTATCCCATATATTATGGAAAATAAAAAATGTTCCAAACCACCAACCAGCCTAAATATTCACCAATAGAATGTCCGACCACTGTTGGTCCCAAAGCTAAAAAGAAAACAATGACCGCATGGCGTCAGCCCAAACCATGGAGCGATCTTGGACCTTCCAGGGACGAACCCCTGGATGATCATTCTGAGATATGGAGGGATACCGCTATCATATGATATCATATTATCAGACATGTTCCTGATATTATATATAATATTATAAAATAATCATTAATCTCAATTAACAATAATCATTAATCATTAATATCAATGAACAATAATCATTAGTATCAAGTAATAATAATTATTATCGTTATCAAAGGTGAGCTTGACATTTTTCATGGCTTACCCTTCGCGTTTCACGTCAAGGCTGATCATGTTTGGTCTTTAAAAAAAAAAAAAGAAAACAGCAACGGCTCGGATACATCAAAAGACATCTGTTTCATGGACTACCCTCTGGTTATGACTAACAGTTTGCTATTGAAAATGGCCATAGAAATAGTGGATTTACCCAGCTATAAAATGGTGATTGTCCATAGTTATGTTAAATTACCAGATGGTACCAATCAATGTTGATCTCTAGATGAACTGTTGTGCCATTCGCAAATGGTAGGAGCTTTGACAGCTTTGACCATGAAGTCTTCCGAAAATCGACCCTTGATGTCCTAAACTTGGTTCCTGGTTACCTTGCCATCTGCTGAGATCCATATTTCAAGGGGCTTCCAAACGTATATGGGTCATGGGACCCTGTACCCGTGTAGTTCACAGCAAAATAGTTGGAGTTTATGGTTTTCTCCCCTTAAAATGCTATAGATATTTAATTTGTAGATACCCTCTGGTAAACGTTTACTTTACTGTGGAAAATCACCATGTTTAGTTGGTAAATCAACGAACGCCGTGCCTCCATTACTGGGCTTCCCACCTGGGTGCGCTGCATCGACACCACGCGTAAACATCGTAAACGTTTAAAGATGTGAAAAACCCATGTTTTTCCTATGAACATGACAACACAAATGCAGGGCATTGTTTATCTATGTTAGGTTACAGGATAAAGTGACATAGTTGTGGAAAACAACGGTAGTCCGTTAACATGATCTACATTCATGGTGGATAAACTCCACCAAAAAACTGTGAGTTTACTAAGTAGGAGTTCCCTGATAGTCAGATGACGAATTTTATCAACTATATATATATAACCATAGTAGTATAGTAGTGATAATCCACCATTGACCATATTGACCCAGGGGGACATGAGTCATTGGAACTTTCTGGTATTTTGACCACGTGTTTCCCGATCATGATCTACTTTTTCTTCCTAACATCACCCAAGAGGAACAAATGCATTAAACAACTTGTTGGATTACAATTACGCTATTTTTCATCTCTCATATCATATATGATGATGTAAAATTAGGCACATTACGTGGCTGGATTAAATCTGGGTCCGGATGCGAGTGAATGGCATCTTCGATTGCCACTGGCTTTCCACTTCAGCCATGGAGATCTCGTGAATCCCTCTAACCCTACCAATGATATTCACACCTCTGAAACTAACATGGACCCTGCGGGAAAATGTTTGAACAATCAAGTTCCACTTGGAAGCGATGATGATGATGATTATTATTATTATTATTATTAATGATGATGATGATGATTGCGATGATGATACTTATCAAGTAAAAGGATTAGGATGGCATGAAATGAGTTGTTTGGGTTCCGAGCAAGTTCTCACGGGAATACGTACATTCTGATGAGGAAATGCAGTTTTCCTAAGACCCTGCAGTTTTACTAGGACCCCCTGCCACGGCAACAGGTTCAGTTCGATACTCTGTGCGGACCTGGGGCATGGGCTATGGAAAAAATGGAAATCGCTTTGGGTGTGATATCAGTTACGGGAAACTTGATTCCAACAGGTTTTGCCAAGAAACAGCTAAAGCATGGTCCATATTAGTACATGTGATTATACATGCATGATTTGTGTTTTAAACATGTGTATCTACGTTTTTTTGGGGCATGATATATGTATGATTTTACTTGAAATTACAAATATGCTCGACTTCTTCCTTCAGAGTCTCCAGCTCCAAGTAGGGTGATGAACAGCGAGAAGCGAGAGTCTCCACTTGGGCGTCCCCAAAGATAGTAACAAACATGTCCTTTCGAGCGACTTCTATACTTTTCGCACCTGCACATCTTCTCTCTGACTGTTGCTGCATTTGTCCGTAAGTTGGAAATTTGACTTCTAAACTCCCTTGGATGATCATTGCGACAATGAAAACCAACCTTAATGCGATGTCAAACTAAGCTGCAAGCAGTGCCAAACCCAAGAGAAACTTAAGAAATTGACATGACTAAGTCACAAAACACAAGCAGGACGCAACTTCGGCCAACTTTAGCAAATGCATCGGCTCATGTTATACGTTCATACAGTTGGATTCGTTCAAATGTAACATCTTAGTGTACCTTCCCTATTTGAAAAACATGGTTTTCTTGATTCTGGGTTGACATATACATCATTATCATTCATGACCTGGGACCTGCTCCTTTTGTTTAATGTATATCTGGAAGACCTTATTTTTCCGTAATGCCATCCAGGTCATCTTAGAAAGCCCCCGTCATAGGTTTTAAAACAACCTGCAGGTTCAGGTAGGATTCAGAACAACCACACATCTGACAACATCTTAAAACTACAGTGTCTTTTGGTCATATCATATCATTTCATATCATATTATATGTATGTGTATATATATATATATTGTAAATTGTATATATATATAAACTCAATCTCTATCCATTCAGATTCATATCCATTGATATCCATTCATGTAACAGCTAGATTCTTGTCAGTGATGTCCTCACTATTTTAGTGTGAGACTTTCCATGACAAACCCCTTCATCGTTCAAGGTCTCTTGCAGGGGTTGAACGACCCGAAGAAAACACCAAAAATAGAATAGACCATTTTGTTTGAGCCAATGGGAAAGCTTATGAATTCATTGTCAGTGTCATTATTATCATTATCATTATTAATATATATATATATTATTTTTGGTACGATAATATCACTATTGTTATGATTATTGACATTTGGTTACCATTTTTGATATTTCATACTGGTACTATTATATGTTGATCACTATTCTTATTATGGGCGGGCATCACCATCCATCCATTTTAAGGGACACCCAAAATACCTGTCCGAGGTGGAAAAATGTGGACCCCTGCGAAGGTTTTTTTGGCCCATCGAAGGGGAAAACATGAAAGCCATTTGCGAATGAATCATATGAATCATATGAATCATATGTATATATATAATTATAAATGTATGTATACATATAGATATAGAAATAGATATACACATACTGTATATCTGTATTCACATACTGTATATCGGTATGATATACTGTACACATAGCAACCCCAAAGAAAAAGAGAACAGTAAAATCGCACCTCTGGAGATGGCAATTGACTGGCGGCTTCGAGAAAGCGAGTCGGTGAGGTATCAACACAACGGGGATGGATTGAACGAAGCACTATATCATTGGGCAACTAATTGGGGTATAAGTTATATACACACACATATACACACATTATATATATACACACATATATACACATTATGTATATATATGTATATATACACATTATATATATATATGTCTATATATATGTATGTATGTATATATATATATATATGTGATCTTGTCAAAGTTGGGGTATAATCGGGGTATTTATATGCTGTATATATATATAGAGCACCAATTAGCAACTTAATCACCTGTATAGTATGTATATCTCACTTGATGTACGTATATATATATGATATAATATGATATGATATGATATGATATGTTATGATATATGATATGAAAGTCATGTTGCAGTAGATAGAATATGGACATGATCGATTTTTGTCACTAAAATGAGAATGTATTTGAAACTGCCATATGCTATCTACTTCAGGGCGATAGTGGATAAACATAGAACAAAACGGGAGATCAGAAGTAGATAGGGATTAAGCGAGAACTTACTGGGTGTTATGGTTGATGTGTTTCTTTTGGCCGCCCTGAAGATTTGGGTTGGGTTTGTCTTCGATAGTAATTACTCCAAAATATGATGGTCATCATTTCCCCTATTGACATAGCAAATGGGTCATCCCTAGCAGCGTCTGTCATATATGATGAGAAATCAGGGCTCAGCATTTACTGATGATGTTTGTTCGCCAGCCCAAAAATAGCTCAAGCTATGAGTTTGCCATGTTTGGTGCCCCCAAAAGGCTGATTGAAAAACGCTAAAAAAACTTCCAGTTGCAGGTCTATCTTCAGACAACTCCACTTAAAATGCTCACATTTGCCCACTTTGACCGCCGGCTGCCGCCACTTGTCCCTTTTTCGCGGGCAGCTACCGCCGGTTGCGGCTGCGCGTCGAGACCCAGAGACCCAGAGGCCAGGAGAAGAGATGCGGCGACCTGGCGGGAGAGATGAACAGTGATGAACAGTGTATATATATATAGATGAACAGTGATTTACTATTGGGTTTACCACTAGTTACAACTCCTAGCCAAAGACTCTGTGCCGTTTTGTCTCATTTCAACATTATCAATAGATCGTTTTTTTTCTATCCGAGAAAAAAAAACGTACACATAGAGGAACCCCCATACAGACGGCTATGAATATGGAAGTCATTTATCACCAGCTACAACTGGTATTTTACATGTCTATCTGTTTGGGGATTACTATAATTATGCATATATCTGGGTAAATTATAATAATTCACCAACCTGAAACTTGCAACCGTAAAAGGGATAATTCCCCGAATCCTAACCATTATTCCAGGCTTCGGGAGAACAGGGTTCGGTCGTGATTGTATCATCCTTATCCCCCAACGACTTCACCTCACATGGACAAAGGGCGACCCAGGTCCACAGCTCACTAGTTTGAAGTCCCAAAAAAAGGAGATGGGCCCCCAATATATGGAGCTTTCCTGTGGGTACCCCTAAATCATCCATTTTCACAGAATCATATAGAATTTTCCCTTATAAACCATCCAGCTATTGGGGTACCCCCAATTTAGGAAACCCCCATATAGCATGTGTTTATAATGTGCTGTAACCTTACTTTATGGCAGCCTATGGTCCTATGGTTTTCCAGAAAATCATGGCCTCACCTCCAAGGCAAAGGTGAAATGCCAGCCACGTGCGCAAAAACCTGGTGGAAATGTGGACCCATGGACCCATGGGCCCATGGGTCTTCAATGTTTTGAAACATACTGTGGTTGCAAAATGGACAGCGTTGGTCTGAAGTCAGTGTCATACAGGCATCCCATCTGGCTTACAAGAGATCACTGAATTAAGGCCAAGCATGGATAGTTACCCCTGAAAAATTCACCATCATTCCAGTGACATCGCAGGGCGATGTAGTCGTTGATCCCATAGTTTCTGCCGGGTGTTTAATATGAACAGGGGAAGGAATGGTATATATATATATATATATATCATAAATCCATTATAAATCAATGATATCAATGATATCCATGATATCCCAATTTAACTGGACTGAAACAAGCCAGTATAAATATCCGTGGCCAGACACTGCGCCGCCGGCGCCGAGCTTGCGAGCCGCGGTGAAGCAGGCAAAGCGGGCAAAGCGGGAAGAGGTCCTGGAGCGGCAACGGAAACGCGTTGTCGAGTTGTGGGTCATAGTTTTAAAACTACACATGGAAGTTCAATGATTCCCTATTGGATTATTATATATAGATTTATATACTATTATTATCCTCCCTAACCTATTGGGTAGTATAATCCCCGAACTAATCATCAACCAACAGGGGTTTTGAACACTGCCGAAGTGGTTAATGGATGTTCTCCTCTGGTAAATTAACAGTTGGACACTGAAAATAAGCTATTCGTAATGGAAACTAATCTTCCAACCCATATCTACCAGGATTTATGCGAATTTACAGGAGGGTAGTAGTGATAGTTGATATTGGTTGATAGGTTTTATTAGTTGATATCAACTAGCATCAACCCCTTAAGTATTAGGTTGAACTGAAGCCAACAACATGGTGATCTTTAGGTCCGGAGGTCCGGACTCCGCCGGTTTCATCATGGCTTGCTGGAAAATCCACCATTGACTTCGATGGTTTTCCCTCTCAGACCTCCAGATTTAGTTCTTGGATTTTCCAGCCATATTTTTTTTGCCGGAGGCTACATTTCACAGCCACATCTGGATGACTGGGTGACTGGATGATGAATTTTGCCTGTCACCTGTTGGGATCACCTAACATTGCGCCATCCACAATCCCTAGCTTCACCGATGTTTCACCATCCCAGTTGTTTTTTTTGCAGTTCTGACCCCCCCCAAAAAAAAACGCTCAACTGGGACATGGGTCCATAGTTACATGTCCATAGTTTGGTTGGCAATCCGATCCTCGCCGCGCCATGTTGCGACCCTCGAGTTGCGCACGGATGCCCATATGCAATCCCAGAGCGCCCTGAGCATGGAAAGGATGGGTTCAAGATGGACATCAGTGCCGATATTCATCATTTGCCGGGACACAGGTGTATATTCACCGCTGAAATATTCTGGACCGCCGGCCCGATATGGCCCAATGGCTTAGTATTGGATCTGTTTCTGGGTCCCTTCTTGGGGCTAAACCAGATTCAGAGTCCCTGCAGCTCCAAACACCTTCAAAGACTGTATTTGGGTTGGTGTCTGGACTCCAAACACCTCATATGATATTTGGAGCTATCATTTATGTATCTATCTCATCTGGTATATTGTTTTTGTATGGCTTTGTTGCATATGTTTGAGTCCATGTCTGATCATTTTTGATGATCATTCAAAATCCATTTTACTTGTTCAAACCCGGTGAAAAAATCACCATGGCCACGCGCCTTGCAAAGCAGGCCGTGATCAGAGAGGCTCTGGGCCAACGTTGCGGCCTGGCCATCGATCGCTGGAAAAATGAGGGTGTTCAGCTACAAAGATGTGAGAAAAACCAATAGGAAAGCCATCTATGCATGGAGATGTATAGCGTATAACGATCAATGATTGATGCACTTTGGGGATTCAGCCAGCAGAATGGCTGCGCAACCTACGAAAATGTGGTTAAACATGGTTAAAGCATATATCAGATAGAACTGGATATACTCCCATCCCCAAAATATCAAATGCCTCCAGTGAGGGCCGCAAAAGGAATAGATTGAATACTAAATATACTAGAACAGATTCATTTGGTAGCTACTTTTAGGGAGAAAGGACTAGTTTGAATCTGAAGAAACCATCGATACGGTCAGCTGATATCCAAGCTACTAAGATGTGAAACCCTGAGGACGTCAATCAGATTTTCTTGGAATTGCCAAGACACATATTTGAAAAAAGAAAGAACGTCTGCAACAAACAACCACAAATCAACCAAAAAAACGCACACAGGCCTCCGAACTGGATGTAGTGGGATTGTGTAGCGATTTTAGCTGGTGAGATACCCGATCTGTGCGAAGCTGCGCCCGCTATGCTATGGGGTCTGTAATCGGGGTTATCCATCCACATCTTTTGCAAGTTGCCCTCCAGAAACCCGCAGTATGGCAGTATGAAAGTTCACCCTTTGTCATTACATATTCATTACATTTGTTTATGTTGGTGGTTTTAACCATCTTGAAAAATATTAGTCGGGAAGGATTATCCCATATATGAAATGGAAAATAAAAGGCATGTTTGAAACCAACAACCAGTATACCGTACAGTATACCTATGAATGTTCCATTGCCATGTGCCCATGTGTCAAACCCTTGAGAATCTGTTGTTCTCAACCCATAATCTCGGACATGCGACTCCTTACCGTTGCCCATTTTGGGTGAATCAAGGACCCTTGGATGTGCATCCCAGCGTTGATAAGGCGGTGAACAACCCCGGTTTCTAAGTCCCCCATTCCTGCCGTTGTCCTACGTATAGCTGCGAAAACTGTTCATCTTCAGGGATGTGTGAAAAATGGAATGCTACTTAGCCACAAAACTCAAACAGCATGCAAACAAACCTGACCAAACTAACAATTCCCTGAAAATACGGGTTTGAGAAAATCATCTAAATCACCCAAATCAATTCCTATAGAACTGGATAATTCACTATATTTGGTACAATCTGATTCTGAAATCACCCCAAAAATCTCCAAAGTCCCCAAAAAATGCCGGCGGCCAGGCCTCTCCTTCCCCCTGGCATCGACCCGTTAGGGTCACATGAGGCCGTAGCATCAGCAGCCTGGCGCATCCCATCTATGAAAAACAATGGAGCCCCCCATAAATATCCGTAAACCATGGTGGATTTAGGGAAACCACATATTTTGGTATATATTTGGATATATTTAAGGAACCATCGAAGGCCTTCAATATTGGCGGGAAGGGATTATATCATCAAGGGACTAAACAAGGTACAGAGTTTTCAAACAGTTTCGAATTGAGATTATCTTTCAGGTCAGCCCTGTCCAAAACCCTCAGTCATTCCATAAAATACTGTTTTGTTTGAGAAGTGGATTCCCAATTCCTGAATGATGATGATCTTCCAATATATTGGATACATCTGGATACTACGACCCGCCACAATCATCAACCAAGGGTAACTTTGAACTCTGCTCATCTACTGGAGAGGGTCACCGAAGTGCGGGGGTGATTGAATCCCCACAAATGTATACACATGTTTCGATGTTGTTGATTTGTATTTGAGGTGGTTTGCATTTTTTTGGGTGGTTCGACCCTCCATTTCCTGTTGGTGCAAACCTAGAAACCCCAATGTACATCCATGTGCCAGTTCCTGTCAGAATTGCGTAAGATGAACCAAGTACCCATCACCACTATAGGGGCATGCATACATTTTGACGTACTAGCAGGCAACTAGCAGGCGGATTGAAAACAAGGGGGCATCAACGAATCATTGAAGCATCAAAACGGTGGTATGAAAAATGTAAAACAAGTGATATAATATGTCCGAAGGAAATTTAGAAATCAAACTTCCGACTTATGGACAGAGCCAGCAACAGTGGCGAGAGCAGTCAGACCAGAGAAAGAGTCAGAAGAGAAAGGGTCAGCAGAAAGAAGAGCAAGGCGCGCGAAAAGGTAGAAAGTCGGGAAACATTGTGTTGTTCAATGTTTTGGGGCTCCCGAGGATCGAAAAATAGGCTCGCTAAAGCGGCGGGCGCGCAGCCATCTGGTCGGATGAGAGATCAAAAATTGCACCCGGCCGTGGGTGCGAAACACGCTTTGAAGGCAAAATGTACAAACCACTTTGGAGCGCTTTTGGAAGTTTAGATGTTCAAAAGGTGCTCCTGGTGGCGCGACGCACAGTTTGAAGTCAAAATGTAGAAAACACCTTGGCTCTGGAGCACTTTCGGAATTTAAGATGTTCAAAAAGTGCGCGCCGCTTGGGCACGAAGCACATTTCGAAGTCAAAAGTGTTACAGAACTGACGGTCTCGGAGCTCTTTCAGAAGTTGAGATGTCGAAAAAGTGCACGCAGATGCACGCAGCTACAAATACAACTGCGACTGTAACTACAACTGCAACTTTAACTACAACTGCACTACACTACACTACACGCAACTACGACTAAGCCAACTACACTACAACTACAACAGCAACTGCAACTACAACTACAGCTCCAGCTACAACTCTACAACTGCAACCAACTGCAACTGCAACTATCTTGGAAGCAGACGGCTTTGTCGCAGGCAACTCTGCAAAGGTCAGGGTAAGAGGCAAACCACTTGAAACTTGTTTCATCTAGTTTCAAATCCTTTCAATCTATCCCACAACAGCTTTTGCAGCAAATACCGAATGATTTGCCTTGATCACCCATCCCTTTTTTTGGACCGGATGGACTTGCTACGACCACATGGCTAAACGCATCGCTCGGTGACAGCCCAACAACCCACTTTGACACCTTTGCGAGCTTGCCATCAGATGGCCACCGTTGCAACCTTCCATGTTGCCCATCTCTCTTCCCCGTATTCAAGTTCTGCTCATCACACCTGCTGCATCTCCGTTGCCGCCTTCGACTCCTACCACTTTGCTTCTAGCAACCAGTTTGCACTCTGCCATGAACAACTGTTCCAGTTTGAACTCAAAAGTCCCCAAGCACACACACAACAGAGACCATGCGCAGCGCACGCGACAATAACCAACAAACCAAGCTTCCAATCCATGCCAACATGCTGCTTCCTAAAATACATGTTTCTTCGAGTGGTCCCCACTTTGTCAAATATTCTGGCACCTCTCTGATTTTGTTTTATTGTATATCTTTGCTACCTTTTATCTTCACATACTCTTTGGCATTTTCCATCAAAGATCTCTGACCGTCCATCTGACATAAGATCTCACCTGGCATCTGCTCTCCATCCTCTTACGGCATGTGACATGTCTTCCGGCATTCTTGAATAACTTTTTATTTTAAATGTTGTTTTTTCTTCTTCCTTATCGCTATCTGCCATTGTCTGCATTGCTATGTGCCATTGACTCTGCCATATCTCACATTCTATCTGGCATTTATTGTGCCTTCTTGTTGGGGGAGTTTGCCCTGGCATGATACATGTGATATATATATATATGATATATATATATATGATATTTGATATATATGATATATATATATGATATATATATATATATATTATATATAGGATATATATATTATATATGATATATATATGATATATATGATATATATGATATATATGATATATATGATATATATGATATATATGATATATATGATATATATGATATATATGATATATATGGTATATATGATATATATGATATATATGATATATATGATATATATGATATATATGATATATATGATATATATGATATATATGATATATATGATATATATGATATATATGATATATATGATATATATGGTATATATGATATATATGATATATATGATATATATATATATATGTTATATATGATATATATGATATGTGTGATATATAGGATATATATATATGATATATATATATGATATAAATGAAATATATATGTGTTATATATGATATATATATATATATATATACATATACATATGATATGTGTGATATATATATATATGATATATATATATATGATATATATATATGATATATATATATATGATATATAAATATATAATATATTATATATAGGATATATATTATATATGATATATATGATATATATGATATATATGATATATATGATATATATGATATATATGCTATATATGATATATATGATACGTGTGATATATAGGATATATATTATATATGATATATATGGTGTATATATATATGTTATATATTATATATATGATATATGTGATATATAGGATGTATAGGATATATATACATATATATGACATATATCATATATATATATATGACATATATCATATATATATATGATATATTGCACTGGTTGGTGCTTTCAATCCCCCCAAGAACTCTACGAACGCCTGGATCGTAATGGCAGGAGCTGCTGAAGACCCGACTGAGCTGTGGCTCCCTGGCCTCAAAGTCGATGGTGCCACGGACGGATGTCATGCGGCGGTTATGGGCTGCATCCCACTCGGAAAATGGTGAACAACAGCCATGGTGCCTACATATGGGAGAAATGCTTTAGAGTGGTTATTCAATAACCCCTATATATATATATTTAAACCATTTTAAGGCATTGATATATCTAGGGTTATTACCCAGTTGTATTATCGGATTAGTGGTCATCCATTGGATTCATTTTAGATTGGGAATTTCCATGAAATAAACCAACCAGCTATTGGGGTACCCCCATTTATGGAAACCTGAAATTACCCGCTCAGCGGATTCGTGGGATGCACATATTCAAGTGGGATGTCAGTGATGTCAGACTTGACATAGGGTGACCTACCAATATGATGGAAATATCATGGGAATATGCACATTAAAGCTACGGATATTATTGATGTGGGGTGTAAAAAAAAACACATCTAAAGTGACAGCCACAAAATGCCACAAATCCTTTTTTAGCCCTGAAAACCACCGTGCTGGTGATATGAATCTTTTAATGAGTGGGCTATGTTTTTTTCGCTGATTGTAATTTTTAATACACTGAATACACCAACAAGATGATATGAACAATAGGATCAATATATATATATATATATATGTATACGATTATATATATATACCTGGGATTATATACCCTATTAATAAACCCTATTATACCCTATAATGGTCAACAAAAATGGGATCGTCCTGGGGGTCACCCAGTCATGGGGATGTGGCTATCGTGGCGGGAAAATCATCCCATGCCATGGATCCAAGGCTTGACTGGTGAACCCGAAAGTCTGAAAAAACATACATATTTATTGATTTACTCATTTATTTATGTATAACTCTGATATATATATATATTACATATTATATATTGTATATTACATACTATATATGACTATGATATATATTCTCTGTTATACATTACATACTATATATGACTATGATATATATTATCTATCATATATTACATATTACATATTATATATGACTTTGATATATCTATGACATCAATGATCACTGCGTCGATCTCCACTTGCCCGATCTGTCGCTTCCGACATGCAGCGATGACCTCCAACACCTGCGTCGCAAACGGGCGCCGAGTCTTAGAAAAAACATTGGGTTAATGTTGGCTTAATGATCGCGATGTTAATAGCCATGTGTAATGATTAATAGATGTTAATATCCAATTTATGGTGAATTTCCATGAACGACAATCGGATAATAAGCCTCCTCGAACTGATGTCACTGATACACAGATAGTACACAATCAAATCATGCATTGTGCCACCTGACTCCACATATCTGAGATACATTACAAAAAAGGGGTTTTGACCCACCACCAATATCCACCGCAAAACACATGGCATATCAGCGACCTGCTAGGCTTCACCCAGTTCCCCAGTTCGCTCAAGCGATCTTGGGCATGTCTCAAACAAACCCCTGTATAAAATGATGTTCAATACAGATACTGATACTGTGATAAATCAAATAAAGATAACCATATGTTTTTGGATTTTGAGATGGTTTTAGTATTCCCCAAATGGGCAAGTGTGGTGTAAAAAAGTTGATGGTTTATGGCATTGTTTTTTTGGGCATTGGGTCTACGACACTACTACAATCCCATGCTTTATCAAGTCATATTGTCCAGTGTCCATTAAAATGTCCATGTTATGGGCATTCCCCAGGTTCAAAATTAACAACACCCTCCTTTAAAATGGCAAATCTTAACATTCAAAAACCTCAAAATGGATGGTTTTTCAGCTGATTTCATATGCTGAACACACCAACTGCCCAGCCTTTGAAAGCGGGTCCACCATGGTCCCACCCTGGTCCACCGTTGTTGGCTCCACCGGTTGGGCCCCCGGTCCTCCAATGGCCGGCGCGAACGAATGCTGGTGCTCGATGCCAACATCAACGCGTGGCGCCAGCGAAAGCACAGGGACAGGGCCTGACTTGGGAGATGGGCGTCACCATGGTTCACCATTGGTCTAGTCACCATTCATGGTGATCAATATTGATGGGGATTGATGGGATTGTAGTAGATTTAGATAGATTTAGTATTTTTTTAGTTAACCATTGATGGTTTGAAGTTTGATGTTAGTAAAGCAATATCATAAACCACCCATATAAATTGATGGTTCATAGCACCCATAAAAAATGCAAACTTGGGGATGGTGGATCCTATTGCTTTACTAACATTCATGTGGTAAACCAACCAAAAAAACTACCACGCATGGTTGGAATTTTGGATGATGTTGCTACTATTGGGATTGTTGATGATTTTACCGGAACAATATCGTTGAACCACTACAAAACATTGATAGACGGGTGATTTAACCAACAAACATTTGATTATTTGTTTCTGGATAGACATGAGGAATACCATGGGAATTTGGGTATATCTGGAGTAGTCTGCCATAAAAACAATGATATGCTTGAGGGTGCGGGTCCCAATTGGTACGAGTAGGTAGCGATCACAACCCAGGTTTTCATTACTGGGGTTAATTTCCAACATCTAACTGGGTTATTTCATACGAGCGACGAATTTTATTTGGTACATGTGCAAAGCAAGAAGATAAGTCAGATAAGGAGTCCCTCCTAGGTCGTTTACACAGTGTGTCTTCCGAGAAAAATGCTTCTGATGCTGAAATGGTCATTTATAGTGGATGTTCTCATTAAACATGGTGATTTTCCATAGTTATGTTAGTTTACCAGAGGGTACGAGTAAGATGCTATAAGGCTAGATTTTGGAGGCTCTTTTTTCAATGCTGTCACGCCAGCGCATATGTGTGTAAAGAATCCCTCGTTTTCGAGTCCCACCAAAAAAAACATCTTTCTGCACCTAACAATGGATCCTGAGCAAAACCTACTTTACTGTTGCTGTAGTTTATCCTAAAATGGATAGTTTATAACTTAATTTATAGAAAAGCCTATGAAAATGAATGATTTGGGGGTATCCCCATTTATAGAAACCTCCATATGGAAATTGACCACTCTTGAGTTGACCGCAGCCACCGGTGATGTCAAGTGTCCCGCAACGCGGCACCCCGGCAAATGGCATCGCTCCGGATGGACATCAGCGACATGTCCTGGAACACTATGGATCTAAAAAAATCGATGAATAGAGCGATGGATGGAGAGAGTCTGATACATGTATGTGATATATATATATATATATATTATATATATATGGGTAAAATCTAATATTTCACCAACCTGAAATAAGGCCATTTTGGGGATATTTTCCCCTTATTACCCAGATATATTTATAAGTATATATTATCTCAGTGGCTGCTGCATGCTCCAAAATGTTTCTGGATTGCAGAATGCAACTTTTCGGATGTCTAGATCAGGGGTCTGGATTTCTTTGAATTCTCTGTGCTCCCGGAAATGCTGATCCAGACAATGCAATCGAAATGGAACACTAATAGGCAAATGAACATAATATGTACAAACTGATATAGATAGCAAATTATTAATCAACAATATGTATATATGAGTGTATATGCATGATGCACATACATAATCATGGACTGAGTCTTGAGCTGCTAGCTGTGGGGAACAACGCCAATTCACCTGGTAACTTTCGCTTACCTAGCCGGGGGGATGGCGCATTTTTATCCAAATCATGTCCCATCCCTATTGTACTCGCATTATATCCTTGGGAACCCTGAAGTCTTGGATGAATCCCATTTTGGTTGGTTGAGCTATTACAAATACCACTATCACATCTCATTACATTAGTCGGTGGATAGGTTTTTTACTATGGCAGTATAACTACCTATAAGAACCAATCAACCAGAGCAGTTTTAATGGCTCAAATGGTAACCCCCTTGATCATTCCGAGTCTTCTTGACATTCTCACCTCATAGTCTAAATCCATCTAAGCTAATTCCTAAGTTTTGATGAAATCCAATTTTTCTTAGTAAATCCTCTTTAGATCCCAATTTTGTTGGTGAAATCCCAGCATTTTGCCTCCCTTCGCCTGCATCACTTGGAGCGCCGCTTGCCACTGCATCTCACGGCTGCAGGCTGCCAAAGTGGCGCTGTAGCTGAAGAGGTCCGGACGAAGATCTGAACAGAGAACAACGACGGAGAGGGGAGACCTTGCAGTAAAACATCAGAAATGCGGATTTCACCATCAAAAATAAAGATTTCACCACCGAAAATAAAGATTTCACCATCAAAAATAAAGACTTGACCATCGAAATAAGGGATTTATTATGATTTATTAACCAAGGGATTTTGGCTTCGGTAATCAACACGGCTGGCTGTGAAATCCCCAAAATGGGATCCGCAGGCGCTGGTCAACGCGTCATCTGCGCACATTGAAAGCGAGTCATCTGTGCACATTGCAAACGAGTCATCCGCGCACAGAGAAACCGCGTCATCCGCGCACAAAGAGCGGTCATCCGCGCACATTGATGCTGGGAACCAGCCATTCAGTGGGGTGGGGTGGGGGGGGGTGGGGTGGGGTGGGGTGGGGTGGGATGATAACGTTCATGTTCCTATGCACACACAGGCACAGCAACCTCATCATCTTTCTTGCTGTTGAGCAGAGACAGGCACAGCTCTTTCATGATCAGTTACCGGTGGGGTGGGGTGAGTTAATAAGGTTCATGTTCCTATGCCTTGCACACGCACAGCAACCTCATCATCTTTCTTGCTGTAGAGCACTTACACGCACTGCTCTTTCATGATCAGTTGCCCGTGGAGTGGGGTGAGTTAATAAGGCTCATGTTCCTATGCATACACACGCACAGCAACCTCATCATCTTTCTTCCCGTAGAGCAGAGACAGGCACAGCTCTTTCATGATCAGTTACCGGTGGGGTGGGGTGAGTTAATTAGGTTCATGTTCCTATGCCTGCACACGCACAGCAACCTCATCATCTTTCTTGCTGTAGAGCACTTACACGCACTGCTCTTTCATGATCAGTTGCCCGTGGGGTGGGGGGGGTGGGGGTGGGGTGGGGTGGGGTGGGGTGGGATGATAACGTTCATGTTCCTATGCACACACAGGCACAGCAACCTCATCATCTTCCTTCCCGTAGAGCAGAGACAGGCACAGCTCTTTCATGATCAGTTACCGGTGGGGTGGGGTGAGTTAATTAGGTTCATGTTCCTATGCCTGCACACGCACAGCAACCTCATCATCTTTCTTGCTGTAGGGCACTTACACGCACTGCTCTTTCATGATCAGTTACCGGTGGGGTGGGGTGAGTTAATAAGGTTCATGTTCCTATGCCTGCACACGCACAGCAACCTCATCGTCTTTCTTGCTGTAGAGCACTTACACGCACTGCTCTTTCATGATCAGTACTTCCTAGATGAGAGGAGTTGTGTGAAATGAGTTGTGTTAGTTGTGAGATGAGCGGAAATACGTGAGATGAGTTGTGTGAGTTGTGAGATGAGTGGAGTAGTGTGAGATGAGTTGTGTGAGTTGTGAGATGAGTCGTGTGAAAGAACTTGGGTGAAGTTCAGCGAGAGAACACGAAGCAGCTCCACCAAATGCCACACGAAAGCAGCTCTTGAGAGAGTTGAGTTGTGTGAGATGAGTTGAGTGAGATGAGTTGTGTGAGATGAGTTGTGTGACTTGTGAGATGAGAGGAGTTGTGTGAGATGAAATGTGTGCATTGTGTGAGACAACTTGAGTGAAGTTGAGAGAGAAAGAAGCAACTCAGGAGGAGAAGGAGGAGAAGCCAAGGAATACAAACATAAAAACAAAAACCCCACACAGAGATGTGAGGAAAAAAACCATAACTTGATGAGTTGTGTGATGATGTTAAAAAAAGCTAGAAGAAGAATCATGTTACAGAGCTACAATGACAAAATCACACAACAAAAACGTGCACAGACGACCAACCGTCTGACGTGCACAGACGACCCACTTTTGGCGTGCACAGACGAACCCTGAACCGCTGAATGACGAGACCGACCGCAGTTTTTTTTATGGGTTGATCTGAAAAGTACGCCCAATTCCATTGGAATATCATGGTTTTTGCCGTTAATACTTCGTGTCATAAATAACCTGGAATCAATCACCCATGTGACAAACCCAAGTGATTACTTTTATCACCATGCTATCCTCAATATATTCACAATTTACAAATGTTAATAATTTTAGACTAATGATGAATCCCACTTGTATCTTGCAAGAAAGGGCTCCCAAACGGTATATAGGTAATTAGTTAGGTTTATATCCAAGCCAACGATTGGATCTATGGTCCATATGGGTTTGTCTGAACATATTTGGCACCTCAAGATCCAATGGTTAATCTGGTTGGTGGTGCAATAACCATCTTGAAAAATCATGGAGTGAAAGTCAATGGGTTTCGGATGACATCCCATTGAAATGACATGGAAAATAATATCGCCATGTTTGAAACCACCAACCAGTTGATCAGTTTTCCCGGTGAAACTGATCATGTTTAATGGGGGGTATACGTATACCACCATTGTTCGGATGCACCCATGGTACATATACCCGGCCGGGTCAACGTTTACAGTTCGCGAACTGGAAAGATCCACCATTTTTAAGTTCGGTAAATCCACTTTTCAATAGCTATGTTAAATTACCAGAGGCTAAATCCAATCTGAAATCCCATTAGATCCCATTAAACCACCATTTTATATAGATCTCATTAAACCATGGTCCAAACATTAACATGGTGGAGTCTGGTCATCCCCTATGGATTGATGACCATCCGTATGGCATACGTATGCCCTAATTGAATATGGTGTTTTGGTGGTTGAACAGCAACGAATTTGGAAACATAACCCATAAACCCATCTTGATCATATTGGAGGACCATATTTGGACCATTCCACATAATTATAGGAAATGTGGCCCATGTTTGTATTATGGCACATAAGCAATGTAGGTCCTGCCAGCCTTCTGTCTCCATCTTCGCCAAAAGCAGGAAAGCACCTTCCCAGCCTCCGAAAAACCCACAAATGCTGACCGTCAGAGGTGGGTACCGAAGGTGATACCAGGTGTAAAGTAAACCAAGGAGCTGTATATGAATCTATAGGACATCTATGGAAAATCTATGGGATTATGGATTATAACAGGATTTAATGGTGATTTAATGGTGATTTAATTGTGATTTAATGTATTTTGAAGTATAAACCAAGGGGCCAATCTGGAGTTGACACCAATACAACACCCTTACTTTTTAGATGTTGATGTTCAGCGACCATCAACAGAACCAGATCCTTTCGGCCGCCAGGCCTCCAGTCCCCGGGTTTTCTATGAAAATATGTATGAAAATTATAAGGGGATGTACTCATCTATGTATATATCTATTATAATATGATATAATTAATATGTATCTATAATTGAATTATAGCTATTGCTATTTACATCATTTTACATCCCCAGTAATTATCAGTTGTGCGCCAGATGATATACGATATATATATATGATATACCTATCTACGTTTACGGAAAAATGACCAATATCCAGATCAAAAAAACAGCTTGGTATGGTAAATTTTATCATCTACTGGATCCACCGGATCCCAATCTAAATTTCCCAAAAACAGTAAATCCAGTGGAAAAACACCATGGTTTCTTGGGTTTTTTTCCATGGTTTCTTGGTCCCATTTCTGGCCGTTGGCCGTTGGCCCCATGGCTACGCCTAAGGCGTGCAGCAGTGCATTGTGCGCAGCTAGGTCGCGACAGGGCGAGGCCTGGTGATCAGCAAAATGCTGGAGTTCACCGTTGTTTCTGGTTGTTTTTTTTTTATGTTTTTTACCCTCTGGTAAATAAACAGTTGGACCCTGAGAATCACCAGTTTTTAATGGAAACTAATCTTCCAACCCCGATGACTGGCAGGGTCTATGTTAATTTACCAGAGGGTATATGTTGTTTATATGTGTTTTTTATATCATTATATATATCTATATACACATCATGTGGGATAATGTGGGATAGACATTGAGCCTTTTTGAATATAAGTGATGTTTTGAATCTGATACTGGTACTTATAGTACAAGTTATATATATATATTGGATATCATGGGAGATAGGGATGATCTAATGGTATATACTGGGTATTCCATGGGAATATCATGATATATGTGGCAGTGCCATGATTTTTTTGGTCAAGTTACATGGAACATGTGGATTTCACCAGAATTTGAGGAAGACCCTCTGGTAATGTTTAAGAGTTTCCTGCCATGATTTACCTGTCGAAATTGATGGTTTTCCATAGCTATGATTAGCGGCTAGGGATGCTTAAAGGGTATGTGTCACTTGAATGGAAAAGTTGCATCCGAAGAAATCTGAGCACCACATTTGGTGAAAAAAAATAGAGTAATCATATCCATTTGGTGGGAACACGTGGTTGATCATCAAACTATGGAAAATTGGAAAATCATAATTAAATCATAGTGCTTGATTTTTTTGATAGGTAAATCATCGAACTAAATGGGCCATGGTTTCCATAGCTATGCTAGTTTATTTGACAATACTCCAAAATTCCTCCTTTTCACCAGTTACAGATTATAGATGATGTTCCAATTCAAAACATCCAAGAAGTGCCCGGATTGCCCGGTACTTTCCCCATGGATTTTCCCCAGCCTTCATGAGTTTCAGTGCCAGCTGCCAGCGCCGCTCTTTGGCCAAGGCACTCAAAACCGCCTCGGGCCACGGCGGAAAAAGGGTCAAGATTTAGGACTCCAAGGGACTCCAAGGGACCGGAGATTTTGGCCATTTTTCGGCACAAAAACCGGGTGTGTTCAAAAATGGGTGGATCAATGCACCAATGAATTTATGGTCTCTAGAATCTGAAAATGATGGACAATCTTGATGATATGTCTTTTTTTGCGACCAAAGATAAGGGATTGATGTTTTTTTTTTAATGACAGATACAATTTAATCTAAAAATGGTAGTCCCGAAAAGTGTTGAACAGCCGGATTTATTCAGCCCATTGTGTGGAACAAAACACCCAAAATGTGGATTTATCCGGCAGCAATGAAGTTGTTTGATACTTTACTTTACATCCAACAATGATAGTAAGAATGAGAATAATATCATAGATCATGCCATTGAGGTTGCAAGTGACTGGTTGGGTTCATGGGTAGATCTTCTGTCTGGTCCAATGCGTACCCAAGCAGGGTGGAGAAGACTGAAGCTACATCGAACTACACGAGCCATCGCTTCCAGTTCGCAAAATCTTTGATTACCAGATGTGCTCAGAAAAAAGAGACATGAACACACCATCTTCAGATCTACTGGAAGATCCTGAGACATTTCACTTTCTCATCCTGTGGATCTCTTACAATTCGCGGCATGTGACTGTGAGCAAGGCGGCATCTTGGACACCATGAACCTGGCCGGCTCCAACTCCGTTTTAAAAAGGCAGTAACTGACCCCCTAGAAAAACTGAAGTGGTACATCCAATCATGAAACGTCGCCCATTTAACCCAATGACTTGCCATTTAAAGTGAGTATTGGCTCAGAAATTTCCATGTCTGTTGCTCAAAAGCCATTTCTGACTCGTCACATCCCCACTATATCCCATTTCTGATGTTTAAATCTTGTGAAATCTCCCTTTTCTTGGCTAAAGCCAAATTTATAGGTTATAATGGATAACTCCCCATTTCTTCTGATGAAATCGTGCTGAATCCCCACTGTTGGATGTTTCATGCCTTTTCCTGGATGTTAAGTCATATTGTTTGAATCCATATGTCGGTCAAGCATGGTGAAACCAACAAAACAGGCTGGTTAAAACCCCGTTATCGATGGTGAACACCATGCTTAAACCATAGATAGTGATCATTTATGTCAATCTATCCACTATGCTTGAAACATAATGATGTTTACCGTAATTCACCCAATTATTCAGCCAATTATTCACCCAATTATTGGCTAATCACAACAAATAGTCACATTAAACCATAGTAATCTAAATTTACCAAAAGTATCTGTAGCAACTAGCAACCACAAAAAACGATGCTGAAAATAGAGGTGTTTCCAGAACTTCGAGGTTATTGTTTTCCTCGGTATCTCAACAGTGTGGGCTGTATGTTAAAAAGTGAAACTCATCAAACTCGATTAATAACTATTAATATAGTCATGGAAAAGATGCAGTTACCACGGAGTCTCATCAAAAATGTGAAAATCATTGAAAATCCAAAAAAAAAAAACAGCTCTGAATCCTCGAAAAATGGCCGTTCGCCTCGATGAGTTGCAGGGCCTCTCTCCAACGCCGCTGCCGACTGAGGGCGCTTCCGCAGGCCGCAAAGGCCGCAGTGGAATCGGCGTCGGCGACGGGCGCTGGCAGCAGCGCCAAAGCGCGCCTTGGGGATGCGTTGACACCAAGAGATTGATGACATGATGATTTTGGATGATTTTGGCATATTTTGGATGACTGGAATGATATTTTGAATTATATGTTTCGGGATTTTTAGATGATTGTTGGATCATCATCCTAGATAGGATGGGAAAAAAACACCAACAGTTGAAAACAGTTGTCTAATGTGGTAAACCCAAGCACAGCCGCCCCTCCATGTTTAGGGTTTTAGAAGGAACAACTAGTCAATGTTGTGTCGGTCCATCTATTCATGTCTTTGTTCTAAGGGGATAGATCAACCAACTGGTGCAAAATGGAGGTGTCATCCAACGGGTTTGCTCCTGAGAAGGCCCGCTACCAGATCTACCAGGATGTATCAACGAGTCAATAGATAAAATCACGGATGTTTGAATACCGAAAAGCTTGTAGAGGCCCTGAGTGACCCAGAAATGAATAGATCCATTGACCAAACTGCGTTTCGAGGGGGTATCACCGGGTCCATGTTCAACCCCCGCAAGTATTTTAGTCTTTAGTTTGTATCCATTTTAGGTATTTCAGCAAAGATCTAGCATGTTCCCAAACAAGGATACAGATCAGGGTATTTGATATTACATTGGTATACGCATTTCAGGATGGTTGAACCATGTTAACCCCCCTCTCTTGATGCTCAACCCGCGATTTTTGAACGTCAGGGGGAAGGTCTTAGTGTTGTCAAGATGCTGCCACTCTGCAGTGGCCACAGCGGCACCCAGTAATGCCTCGAATAGGCCAGCGAACACACAACGGCACCATTTAAAACCAATACAGAATGTATGTCTAAATATATGTGTATATATATATATACACATAAGATTAATAAAACGTTTTTGTACTATTGTTATCATTGTGAACAATATAGTGTGTATATTGTATATGTATATATCATTCTATATATGTATATCATGATGTGTATATATATATATGTGCATATTGATATAAATATAATTATGCGTATATATACACAAATACATATGTACATGTGTCATTGTACATATATATATATATACGTATAAATCATTGTAAATATCATTTGATATATACACATACACAGTAGTGCACTCTATGATCTTCTGCGAGTATTGAGTAGCTGGTAAATCCCCAAACTGGGACGGGAAAGAGAGCGCGCGGACACCTACCAGTCATTATACCCAATACACATTGCTAGTTGCATCAGTAATATCCCCACAAGCTTTGTCTCAAAATGCTGGATACCCCATGGCTGGTGGAAGAAAAATCCACAGCCATTTGCTGCTTCAAGCCCCATATCATGGCTGATGATATCCCTGAAAACTACCAGAGGACTCCAAAAGGTCTGGAAGTTTGGATGGGGATCCATCTTTATGTTACCTGAACTGGACCACGTCCGTCTCCTGAAAGTTCTCTGTGAAAAAGAGATGTGTCTTTGGGGGGCTCACACATTCTCTTGGGTGGTGAACGAGACCATGGGGAAATCGGTGAATCAAAAAAAAAAGTGGTTCTCTATTGGTTCTATTTTTGTATAAAACCATCAATCATTTGGATAAACCGATAGACCCATCCATGGCTCCGACGGAAGCAGCTCCATGGCCTTCCATTTGAAGCTGGTCTCTGTGGGAAGGAACGCTTGATACAGGAAACGATAGCATTTACAGCAGATGTTCCCACCAATTCAAGGATTCTGGGATGATAGAAATTCTGATCATTCGACTCAAACTCTAGGATTCTGGTATTTATAAATTCCCTGATGATCATCTTAGATTTTCCCCGCCAATTCTGGAATTCTGGGATGATAGAAATTTGTCTGGATGATAAGTTCTGAGAGAGTTTCTTGGCACTACTTGCAAAGACTGATAGAAATTTGGAAGTGTTGCAGAACTTTCACAGATTTCAAACAAGACAAACTTGGCGCGGAAGGAAACAAGAATGGAGCTTGATCAACAAGCATGACATGCATCGTGAGGATCCTACCGGTCAAAATAAATATTCAGCCCAAAACTATCCAAAACTACAAACGATTCACATTTAAGCCAAAACATTGCTGTTTACAGATCCAAAAAGTCATCTTCCAAAAACATTTTGGTGGGAACAATGGAATACATTGGAGTAGATGTGTACATGTTGTGTACATATTTGAATCTATGTACATCATCAGACATTCTCTATCCAGAAGCCGCCGTTTATGTGGCTTGAATAGCCCGTTTTGAGTATACATGGGTTTGTCTGAAAATAGGGTATATTCCCAATGAAATAGCCATTTAGTAGGGATAATGATCAGCAAAACCATTGGGTGTAGGGGTACACTATTTTCAGACAAATCCACATGTACGAGTGTCTGACTAGAGGAGAACCCAACACACAGGAAACTTCAGATTCCGCTTGCTCCAAACGGCCACTTGGAGGATCATGCCACGAATCGTAAGTGATAAGAAGCCTGGTTACCAAGTCCTCGATTCCTGGGAAAAAAAGACAAATATATATATATATATATTTCTAATTATATAATATATATATATACATTATAATTATATATTATATATATAAGCGGGTGTCAAACAGCCAGGGTCTCTCTTCCACATCTCTTGACCACCACAAGTAGACACGAGGGGCCCCAGGGGCCCACCTGTTCGAAAGCCTGCTGTGCAGCGACGGCTTTCAGCAGGGCATTCAGACTGCGCAGCTCCAAGTGCTCCACCTGACGCGGTTCAGAACAGCGACGCTCGGCGAGGCTCGACGAGTTCTGACGTCAGAGACTTTGACCTCTGGTAAACTAACAGTTAATGGGATTATGAATGGAATAATTAACCAGTAATATCCCAATAATTATGAAATATCCTGTTAATTCTGATTGTTAATGGGATAATTAACAATGGGATATTGAAACTAACAGTAATAGTTAATTAATGGGATAGCCTCTGGTAAACGTTTACAGTTTGCGACATAGAAAATGGCCCAGTCGAAATAGTTTTTCTTTACCCATCTAGAAAACATGGATGGATCTTTCCATCGTTTTTTGTGAACGTAGAAACCAGGCCGGGTAGCTACTGTGGTGAACCCCCATGGGTCACCCAATGCTATAAACCATTCCCAATGATCTTGATGGGATTGATGGATGCCGTGGAGTTGATCCTGACAGAGGCAACCGAACTTGAGGCAATGCACAAATGGAAAATCCCCAATGGAGTTGTTTTTTCTAATGGAGAAATGATCTAATTTTCAATTGCCACGTTACTGGAGGGTGATGAAGTTCCACGTTTGATTCTTGGAGGAATCCTCATGCTGAAATCCTCAGTCTTGAGAATCAAATCCATGTAAAGCCCTTATGTTTGCTTGTGAAAATCGATATTTACAAACCCGAACCCCCGTATCTTAGGATTGCATGCTATTGTTCTGCTAGTTCGATTCATTCTTGCCAGGGACATAATGCTAAATCCATCATGTTTGTTGATCAAATCCTCATGCTTATTGCTTCATTCATGTAAATCCCCCTATACGTTGTTACTTCATAACCAGCAGTCTCCATCTTCATTAATTCATACGCACATAAATGAACACACTAATTCATATGGTTTTGTCTGAAAATAGCCAGTGATTTACCATAACGTTCCACTTTAAAATTCTTATGTTGGGGTATAACTAATTTTCAGACACACAAACACACCCATATATCATATTGCTGGTTATACCCCCCTCATATCCCGTTCCATCCCCTTAACCCAAATGACGACTGTTTGGGATACCTAACCCTCTATTTTATGGGTCAAACTCGTCAAAACAATGGTCATTTAGGTTCCAGGTATTCACTCAATAAACTGATCAAATAATATGAACATAATGCAACATCATATAGTATGAAATAGTATCATGTAACACAATATAGATTAAGTACATGCTTTATAGCAATGGTGCTGAAAACATGTACAGGAGATATTATCAACACTATCTATACCTAAAAGGGTATGTCTATATCAACTCAAATATGTTGACAAATGGGGATTTAGCATGATCTAACCATCAATACCATGGGGTATAGATTAGGGCTGTAGTGAGATAAGTGGCCATTTTAGTAGCCAAACAATCACCTTTAATCCCATCCCTCTAACATGTCATGCCTCCTTAAAATAAGGCAGTTTGTAACATAGAGTATCCCCCTTTCTATAGTATTGTTTCTATTAAACAAATATAATCTATATGGTTATGGGTCAAAACCCTGGTACCCTACCCTAAAATAGCTGGTGAATGGAGGTTTATTCGCCTAAATAGGGTAACAATAGGTTTGGACCCATCCCCATATTAACAGTATAAATTATCTGGTTGGTGGTCTCAACCCAACTGAAAAATATTAGTTCGTCAGTTGGGATGATGAAATTCCCAATAGATGGAAAAAGAAAAGCCATGTTCCAAACCACCAACCAGTATTGTATTATCACAATTTATCATATATTCTTCTATCATGGGACTATTCTTGGTTTCAAGGGATTTGGATATAATCAGCTACGATATTATGGGGATATCATGATACCTCTTTGGACCGCCCAGGGAGGTTCACTCCGTGGAACAGTATAATTATTAACCATTATTAACCATAATTATTAACAGTATAATAGTAGCTATACATGATCAATAATAGTAACCTAACATTATTAACCATTATTAACCACTATTAATCACCATTATTAACAATCAGGTAAGAATTATTAGCAAAACCATCCACGATCTCCCCGACCTCTGCCATCTGCAGCGCCTCTTGCCACGCCATCGTGCGCGCAGCGGCCTTCACCAACGAAGAACGAAGACCGGGACCTGCCGGCCTCTTGGACCGAGCGGAACACATCTGGAGCTGGGGTTGAACCATCAAAACTTAGGTTTCAAATGGTGCAACTCTATGTTGAAGGGATATGTTGCCAACCAGTTTCTTTTAAGGAGGCTAACATGAAATACTGTGAAATGGTGATGGGATTAAAGCTGGTTGGGCTAAAAATGACCACTGTCTGGATTTGCAATAATCCAATAATCCAAACCAGTAGTTATCACATGTTCAACCCATAGTGATAAACTATTACATATATTACATAGCCATGTCTTGAAAGTCGAATCCCCCTGTCAACACATTAAGTGCTCCATGGGTATACCAATGCTCGCCCTCTGACGCTGAACCTGCATCCTCGAGCGATCCGACACACAGCGCCAGTGCCGCCTCAATTGAAAAAAGTGGTCCATGTGCAATCACAAACATTTGGAAAGTAATATGGACATATAAGTTGCATTAAATGGCTTTAGTTAGACTAAGATAAGTGTATATGGTATGATAGATGTATCTACAGTTATATAGATGGGTGAAAATCAAACTCTCTAAGTCTGGGGGTCTCATTTTTTTTGTCCTTTTTTTGTGTCATCAACATCAATCAACGTTAGTTGGCTTCCAGACTTGGCCGACATACTGTACCTCCATTATGCACTTTTTTGCAATTTACTGTGCAGAAAATCATGTTCTTCGTACATTGTGTGGGCGGTTGCATAGGCCAAAAAAAAACCTGATCAAGGGAACAGTTGGTGGTCTCAACTCATCATAGATTTGCCCGACGAAACGCCAACAGCCAGTTGTTGTCCGCTCAGTTTTCACATTCTTTCAGAATGTTTCATGTTTTTTTTTCCGAATGGTTCACCATGTTTCACCATGTTGCATCATTTCTCACATGTGTTCACCATGTTTTCACCATTGCACCACGTTTCCCAATGTTTCAGGTTGTTTTACATTGGGAAATGGTGGTGAAAACATTGGGAAATGGTTGTTTCACCAATGTTTCACCTATGTCCACCATTTTTCCATGGTCTTACAGAATTATTGCTGACCATTTCTGAAACCTTTGTTCACCATTGTTTTTTTCCGTTTTTCACACATGTTGAACAGATGTTTCACGATTTGCAACACAATGATTAAGCCATTTTGTGTGACATGTTCACATTTATCATGGTTAATCTTGACATTAGCCATAAGAATGTGACCATGTTTCGACATCATCAACTCACAAAATCATGTGTCACACTGGCTCAACATCGCGCCAAGTGGCGGCCCAGGCCCTCTGCCGGCAGAGAGCGATAGCATCCTGACAGCTTAACCAACAACTTTGGTTGTGTATATATATATAATGTATAAAGATGATGTGTATATATATATATGTAATTATATATATTTATGATGGGAGTTTATTTGCTATGTGTTACCAACATGTGTTCTACATATGTATATATATATATATATACATAGCGTAAATTTATTATGTACATCTTCATATGTAATCAACAAGTAATCCCAAACATGCAGGAGCATCTGGGGATGCCTTATACCACCCATAAGAATGGTGATTTTGGGCATGGTTTATGGCATCGGTTTACCACATAACTCCGAATAGCCATCAATGAGCCTGCTTAAAACAGGTCAGTGATCCATAGCAATCCTACCCACAGACCCTGCGTGTTACCCAGACATTGACATTGAGGATGTCGTGTTGTCGAATATGTTAGGAGAGATTGCAGCAAATACTGCGTATACACAGTGTTTTTTAGGCTTTAGATTGCTTAACAGCATTGGGGCAATCCTAGCCAATTTTTTTAGTATACTAACATATAGGAAGTTTAGAACCAATAGCCCTATATACTGGGTAACACTTAGTATTAATGTTAGTATACTTTATATAACTAAAGTTTATATTGGAAGCCTAAGCCCCAGCCCAGCATGGCACCATTCGATGGCATAGATCTCCGGTCTCCAGGCCGAGGAGGCCATGGAGGCCATGGACAGCACCAGGGCCCGTTTGGAGTCAAAAAAGATATGTTTAATGGTTTTTAATGGCTAATCTATGGTTTTATAATCTACTAGTATGGTTTTATAATCCTTGACACATGTTTTATATCTATCGGAACCAAACCAATATTGTTTTTTATCATCTACTAGTATGGTTGATAAATGTTGATAATGGTTAACCTATGATTAATCATAATGTTGACCTATGCTGAAAAAAAAGAGCTTAATGATGGTTGATCCACGGTTTTCATAATGGCTAATCTATGGCTGCTGATGCTAGAGAACTGTTCCTGATCCTGGAGAATAGGTTCCCTGAAGAACTGATAGCTCCTGAAGAGATCTTTCATGATGTAGACGGGAAAAGAAACAGGATTGATCCGTGATACATTGTAAGATTTAGTGAGATTTACCCTCTGATAAACATACAAAAAACTATGGAAAACCACCATTTTTAATGGGTAAATCCACTATAATCACCATTTTTAATGGGTAAATCTACTATAAACACAATTTCTATGGCCATTTTCACCACATTCTGCAGGGAATGGATCCGAAGAGAAAGAATTTTGGACTAGACTTCGACTGCAAGATTCCCCATTAATGGTGCTATGACCATCCTGAAGTATGGCTATATAGTCATGTATAATAGTAACCCCCGAAAAGAAGAAAAGTACATCACCAGAATCACCACTATCTTACTCGGATTTTACTGTTCGATCTTTTTGTGGCTGTCTATACATATTATAATATGTATATATATATATACCCTCTGGTAATTTAACAGTTTGCTATTGAAAATGGCCCATAGAAATAGGTGATTTACCGAACTTAAAAATGGTGGATCTTTCCAGTTCGCTATGTTAATTTACCAGAGGGTAAAATCCAATCTGAAATCCCATTAGATCCCATTAAACCACCATTTTAGAGCCCATTAAATCCCATTAAACCACCATAAAATCCCATTAAATTTCATTAAATGGAAAATAGCTATTGAAACCATATAAATATACACATATACACAGTCCAACTCTTGATTCCAGCTGGCGGAACCGCTAGCGAAGCTAGCGGAACGGAGATCCGCGGTGTACCACTTTGGAGTGCTGCAACATGGTAATCAAACATGCTCATGTGAAAAAAAGTGCCCATGTATAAATGACTTCCATATATATATATACACAATATGACTATGACGATTTTCCACAGCTATGTAACAAAATACCAGAAAGTCTATTATTCTAGAAATCATAATCCCTTCCTCCTAATACTAAACCCCCCCCCCCCCAATTACAAAACACGGCAGGTAGTTTCTAGTATTAGGGGGGTATTTATTATTAGGGAACCAAAATATTGCCAAAAATGACAGTTCGAAGCTTACCCCTAATACTAAATTAAAACCCTTAATACTAAAAACCATTTTTTCCGATCTCAAAATCAATTAAATTTCCTTATATAATGCATGCAATGAAAATATTGCCACAAATGGCAGTTCGAAGCTTACCCCTAATACTAAATTAAAACCCTTAATAATAAAAACTATTTTTTCCGATCTCAAAATCAATTAAATTTCCTCATATAACGCAATTAAAATATTGCCAAAAATGGCAGTTCGAAGCTTACCCCTAATACTAAATTAAAACCCTTAATAATAAAAACTATTTTTTCCGATCTCAAAATCAATTAAACTTCCTTATATAACGCAATTAAAATATTGCCAAAAATGACAGTTCGAAGCTTACCCCTAATACTAAATTAAAACCCTTAATACTAAAAACAATTTTTTCCGATCTCAAAATCAATTAAATTTCCTTATATAATGCATGCAATGAAAATATTGCCACAAATGGCAGTTCGAAGCTTACCCCTAATACTAAATTAAAACCCTTAATACTAAAAACTATTTTTTCCGATCTCAAAATCAATTAAATTTCCTTATATAACGCAATTAAAATATTGCCAAAAATGGCAGTTCGAAGCTTACCCCTAATACTAAATTAAAACCCTTAATACTAAAAACTATTTTTCCGATCTCAAAATCAATTAAATTTCCTTATATAACGCAATTAAAATATTGCCAAAAATGGCAGTTCGAAGCTTACCCCTAATTGCTAGAGTAGCCAGGCAGCTTGGAGTGAGGGATTGGGACTAGGCCCCCCTAATACTAAACACCCCGGGGTGAACTCGTTTTTAGTATTAGGGGGGAGAACCCACAAATGGTAGGTTGATTTTTAAATTGTTTTTTAAAGGGGATCAATTAAAAGTCAAATTGGCCAAACTGAAATTTTCGGAAATTGGAGATGGATGCCTGTTTTTAGTATTAGGGGGACGTTTAGTATTAGGAGGAAGGGATTACTTGTAAGATTTGTAAGGGCACACATGGGGTAGCTGATCATCTGCTGAATGGCAAGTGATCTCGCGACAGTTGATTCCTAGCGCAAAGTCTGTTTTTGATCCGGATGTTGCCACGGATATACAGTAAGTAAATCTGCGGCCATGTCTGATGTTCTGACATGTTACAGTTTGCTGCCAAACATCACTCAGGAACAACGCTTAGCCGGAGGGTAACCTCCACAGATATGGACAAAATTGTGGCATTCTGCGGAAAATCTACATGTCTGTTGGGTTTACCACATCGTTTTGTATGTTGACAGGAAATTATATCAACAGAAGGAACATACATGGCAGATGTGTTAAAAATGTTGTACTTGTAACATGTAACCACTCAAAAACTTGCCATGTAACGCCACTGCCATGCTTTGCCTGGCCGGCGATCTGGGAGTAGACAGCACGTCCTGGTTGGGAAACATCTTCACCAGAAACCCTGGGGGAACCATGGTAATTCCTACCAATAAATAATATGTCCCAACATTTAACCATGTTTCCTATCACATGTGACCTTAAAACCAATTCTGTGAAGGTCAACAAGGTAACGATATACCCTCCGGCAATCATTGCCATGGTTTGCTGGACTATTCCCCATTTAAAATTAAGCTGAATGATTTTTTCCATCTATATATAATATATAATATATATATATATGTAACATGTATATAATTATATATTTATAATTGTATGTATAGGATTATAGGATTATATAATTTTCCAAATGCCACTCGGCCTTTTGATGACTTTTGGCCAGGAATCCCAGCGAAACGGTGAGTCAACCACATATCTGGCGTATCTTTCGTCATCGTTGGAATTTTTGAAACAAGGTAAAATATGGTAAGATGCATTATAACGCCCAAAAAAATTGAACACGTGTTTCTAGGATTTCGAGGAACGTGTAAATGATATTTGCAACATATTTCCGGGTGTCCCACTTTTGTATCTGTTTTGGGGTTCTTCCATATCAATCAAAGCGCAATCGTTAACTATTTCTGCAACCTGCAGTCTCAAAAAGAATACATGCACGATCCATTGCAGGATTTTAATGGATCTTACACATTCTGCATACTGACAACCCCCGTTTCTTTGCTTTCCACTGAACTGAACCGCAAAATGCTCGATTAGCCAAGTAGAGATCATGTTCCACTGCATGTAATCCATGTGCATACCTGAATTACTGAGGTTTCAAGTGCAATTCTAATCAAGCGCGGCCGTGCATTTTTTTTTTCAAGATGACCCCCTCAATCCCCAAACGAAAAGAACCACCCATAAAACAAGGTTTCAAGGAGGTGTTTGTTAATAGGCTGGAAGGATTGGTGTGCGAACCCAGGGCCATAAATTTCCAAAGTGCGATGATTTAGTCAGTGGCTCATAGATGTTCATAATTTTGGGGTTAACAATACATTTGTATATATTTGTATAATTCATCGCAAAGATGCCTAGATAACGGCATACATCACATATCGTTTGCTATCACCAACAAAAACCTATACCCCTGCAATAGTTGTTACTTTCCGTAGCCAGTATACAATAAATTGTTCTTAATAGTAACACGACCCAAACATTCCAACAATGTTTCGTTTGGAGGTATTTCTAATCCTAAGGTGAAAGGCTCAAAGGAGTTTGTCGGGAAATAAGGCATCCCAAAATCCATTCGTTAATTAATCGGCATTTTCCCTAACTAAAGTAAAATTGCCATGAACTGGGAGGCCGACACCGGAGTTTCAGACTAGTCCAAGAAACATATTGGTTAGATATCCCGTTGCATTCCACTATTATCATCCCTTTCATTACATCCATCCCCATTTTGGCTGGTTTTTGGTTTGGACTGTACACCCCCAAATCACCAAATTGGAATAATTTGGAATGAAAATTTTCTTTCCCGCACGCATGGTGTTCCACGCTGCTCCTCCGGATGAATGGAGACCACCGATGTTGGCGTCACAGGAGCCACAGGAGGAATCACCGTGGTTACGACCTGCCTGGCGTCCCAGGTAACAACGACAATGGGGATGGGAGCAGCACAGAAGAAAATAGAGTTTATCAGCGTTCATGCAACAGAATTAGGGGGTAGCCAAACAACTATGAAAATATATGAAAATCAAACATGGTTGCTTAACCAAACAACAAGCGTGCATGTAGGGGGCAGTTATGCAAGGTTTGAACAACAAAATGTAGGCTTAACAAACGAGAAACATGAACATATAGAAATAACGAAATACAGTCCCTAGCAATGAACATACTGTGCATGCTTCGGTTTGGCACTGTGTCCTCATAGGTTTTGATGAACTAATCAAGATCACAAACAAGCCTATGGACCCAAAGACCTCGAAGTCGGTTTTCCTGCTGGATATGGTACGTATATAGTTCATGATGGATTTGTTGGAACCTTGTTTTCTGCCGGCAAGAACTTACAGTTACGGTCGTTATTCGTGGCAATTTGGAAGACCAAGGCACTAAGAGAAGAGATATAAAGACAATGGATGACATATGAAAACTATAAAATTTGATTGTCAGCCGATTTGTGCTGTCAGCCATTCCGAAGAAGCTGGCCGCTTACAAAATGGCATGCAAGATCATGCAAGCATCAAAACGTCTCACGCTTATTG